ATTCGTTAAATATATATATATGTATATGTATATATTAAAATTTTCAGTAGGTTTTTACGTTAAGTAAATGTAAGAGAGCAATAATGCATATACTAACATTATCATTGTCTTTCCGCGCTAATTATTTTCTATTCGATTGGATTGTCACACTCATCCCCGCTTTCTCCTAATTTCCGGAATTACCGAAGGGGACAAATCAGATTCTCTAATGTGGTATAAAACACATTAACAATTAGAAAATTTATTTAAAAAATCACATTATTTTTTGTTTCATTTATTTTCTTTTCCTTCATCATTTCTATAAATTAAAATTATTATTTATTTATGTAATCTCTATATAATCGATAATTTTATAAATTGCAGATGAGCCGTTTGTATAAATTGTTTAGTCAGCAAGTGACACAATTTTGTGCCGATTCATCGAGACCAGATTGCAATAAAAATTTCTTAATTACCGGTATACGAAATCTTGCTGAAATAGACGACAATATTCTCGATAAATTGGATCCGTATCAACGTAGTGCTAGAGAAATAAGTAAGCATATATATGTTATACATAATTTTATTATAGTCCATATATATATATATATATATAATATAACATTTTGAATATCAACTTGATTTCATACTGATTTATATTTATTTGTTCACAGTTTGGCGAGCTTTAATAGGAACAAATAGATTCTCGTCTAGGACAAGTCAAGATATCAAAGGAAATTACTTTCCTACAAATGATCTTTTGATAGGTACGAAAGAACCATTAATTACTTTTTTTTATGGTCTCATGATCTTATTCAAAAGATTTATTGGATGCTGTTTAAGAATTAAACGGGGTCACTTTTCTCGAAAGTAGAAAAGAGAACTCTCCTCAAACGTACACTGTAGCTTTCACATTTTCTCTGTGCTCCATATTCTATATAGAAACCTACATCCCCCCATACATAAGAGAGAGGAGGCTACTGTTAATTTCATTTTTTTGTCAAACGAGTATTAATATTTTGACCTATCAATTATTTTGCTTCTTATTATATTAACATTTTTCTCATTTGTTGTTTTTTTTCTTGTTTTCTTTGAAACAATAAGTACATTATTATTTAGGATTTCCACATAATCGTTTTACCGAAAAAATTAATATTAATTTATTAATAGAACTACAATATTTTATTTTTCATTTCAAGATATAAATTTTCAGTTATACTATTATTAAAAAAGTATTTTTTTAATTTTATAATTTCTTAAGAGTTCGGTAAAGTGACTTTTTGGTTAATATATAAAATATTAAAGTCATACATTCTATGTATTCTCTAATTTGTGATATTTACAGGAAACGACGATAGCGAAACAAATACTATAACAGAGGAAAGCGTGTCAACGAATGATTACATTCATGTTGGTCCATATTTAATTGGACCAATGGTAACTCGCGTTTTTCCGGATGGTCGTCCAGTTCCAGATAATTACAAGAGATTTCGACCAAGGGATGATGATATTGACGAATTAAAATATACTGTGGTATTACCGTCGATAAGTGATATTGAGACCAAGTTTGATAAAACCGCTTATAGAAATAAAGTTCTTAATAATGATAGAAAAAATATCTCTCCATCGAGATTTATAACACTTAGGCGAATATCAATCGAAGATCATGACGGAGGTTATCATTGAATGAGTATTACCGAATCCTTCAAGTATTAACATATTTGAGAAAAAAAAAACAAATTACAACTTGCATTTCTGTTTTTATATGCGAGGAAAGAAGATCGCTTCGTTCATGATAGAGAGAGAACGAAGACTGATTTAACTGTTGAATTGTTGAAAATTAAGGTGTATCTATTTAGATGAACATCAAAGGGGGGAGGAAAAGTTATGAATAATCGGAAGATCGAAGTAGTAATACTTTAGGAACATTGTTAAAACAATGAGTATGAAATCCCACCGTTATCAGTCAATTGTGAACAAGAATTTTGTTTTTCTTTGTTTATAAATCTTTCCTATTATCATTCATTTTTTGTTGTTATCTAATATCATATTTTGGTTTTTATATTCTAAATGTTATATCATTAAAAATTATGTATAGTAATGGAGAAATTTGATGATGATTTGTACATCATCAAAGCTTGTTTGTTTCGTATGATTAGGAGTATCAATAAGTAACGTCATATTTAGTACATAATAATTTGTTTTAAATTTGAGATATGCGACATTACTTATTGGTACTCTTAATATTTATATATATTTATATGTATTTATATATATACACGTAAATCTTAAATGATGAAATGACGAGTATCATGAACAATTTTTATACGAATGTGTTTATAAAAATGCTCTATTTATACATATATATTTATAATATGTAAATAGGAAATGTGTAAGAATAACATGTAAATAGAAAGTATATTATTTTTTAAACTATATTGGTAATATTTATAATTAACCAGAAAAAATAGCCGAAAACCAGTATATATGGTCTCTTTATAAATAAAACATATTTTATTTATTTTTAGCCACTCTTTTAATAAAAAAATTATTTATTTTTTTGAGATAAACTTGTTAAAATTTGATTTAGGGTGTCTTGAAAAAACCTGGTATATCAGGGATTCCAGGGATAGAAAAAATTTAGAAATCACTGATCTAGGAGATTATAAAGAACTTTGTTTCCCAGAGTAAAATCCCTAGGAAATAATTCCTAAGCACAGAGAGCACGGAGGATAGATACCAGGAGTCCGAACGTAATGTCGAAAGAATGGTATCAATTTAGGGGGACAAGATATTTTGCCGGTAGGGCGCGCTGTTTTTCACAGAGTACTCGTTTAAATACTTACGCGGGAAGTCTTGTTGCAATTGACAGCTCTGAAAAAAAATATTTTAAGAAAATTAATATTATGTAGTGGAATTAATATTATTTAAGAACTACACAAATGTAATAATCAATTATTTGTTAACATAAAATTTTTAATATTATTTTGAGGTCATTCACTTTTGGTGCTTTGAATAAAGCCACTTTTCCTAAATTCTCACATGCCTTTTGGCCACTAAGGCAACCATAAACGGCACAACACTTTCCTATTTTTTAATAAAAATAATTCTAAAAAAATAAATTATTATTTTATATTTAATTTACGTGTAATAATAATAATAGTATCGGTACGCTCTGAATACTTGCGCAGCCAGTGGCAAAAAAGAGAACTATGATCTAGGTCAAGAAATGACTACCACAAAAAATGTGAAAAATCCTATATCGTTCGGACTCTTGGTATCTATCCTCCATGACAGAGAGGGTGAGAAAGCGAAGAATGAGCATGCGCAAGAACATGTGACGTCACAGCTCGACAACGGTGGTTTCCATTGACGTATCTACGTGCAACAGTAGATGTACGTAAGGGGTTCTTCTCAGTCATCTCCTTCGTTTTTTGTTATAGTGAAGGTGAGTTGCTTAATGTTATATAATATATTGAATTATGTAGTGTAAATATGTTATTTCTTTTAAAAATGTCCTTTTTCTGTAATTTCTACCGTATTTCAATTGTCACAGGGGTCTAACGATACCCCATATTTGAGTGAAGTATATACGTTACTGATAATTAGAGGTAATGCGCATGCGCACGTCCTGGCATCACTGCATAGTGGGGGAATAAAATTGTCCTGCTGTACAACTTGAATCAGTCAGTCGCAATAAAGATGCCTAACTTGTACTATTGAACGTGTTCACTATACAAACATACCCTAACCTATATGAAAGGAGGTGAACTTCAAACATAACCTATAAGTTATCCAAAAATTCGTAAACATTTTTACAAAAAAGTGAATAATTTTGTTATACAATGGAAACAGTGCCAAAAGATTTACGTGGTCTCAGAGCATGTTTAGTATGCTCCCTAATCAAGGTATGTTATTTTTATTAAATAAGTTTTCAAATATATTCCAACAGATTTTATTTATCAATTATATTTAATACTCTTTTTTAGACTTTCGATCAGTTCGAATTTGATGGTTGCGACAATTGTGATGAATTTTTACGCATGAAAAATAACAAAGACAATGTTTTTGATTGTACAAGTTCTAACTTCGATGGGTAAGTTTTTATTTGAATATTTATAATATTTATAATTAAAACTTTCATAACTGGAATTCATAAAAATATTTCTTTTCCATTTTCTTTTTTAATTTGTAATTATTTCATTTTTTAAAGAATGATTGTTAATATGTAACCTGTGAAAATTTGTAGATTAATATTTATTTCAATTATTTTTAATTTTTAGAATGATTGCCGCAATGAGCCCAGAAGATAGTTGGGTGTGCAAATGGCAAAGAATTAGTAAGTAATCAAATATTATCTATAGATACTTTACATTTTTTACGTAGAATTTGTATAATCTCCATGTATTTCCTCTAACCAACTCACTATGTTCTTTTTTTCTAGATCGCTTTTGCAAAGGAGTTTATGCAATATCTGTATCAGGTCGACTTCCAGCCGGTGTTATAAGGGAAATGAAGAGTAGAGGTATCGTCTATAGACCACGAGATACGAGTCAAAGATAGATATATTGTAATAATGGATATTTTATATTTTTTCTAATTACAAGTTTTTACAATGTTTTTGTAAATATAACTACAAATATGTATATATACATATATTAAAAAATACTATAAATGCTATAATAATTAAAGGATACTTATGTACATAATATTACAATAAATAGAGTGCGCCTCTATTGATCTATGTTAGATATTTTTATTATTAACCTAATAATAATGTTCAAATATATCATGCATAATAGTATAATTTTATTTTGCGGAAAGAATACTGTATTTGGCTGATTCTGAAAAAAAGTCGAAAATGGCTTTATCGAGTTGATCAGTTTTTTTTTTAACTCGTGATCGAATTTTTTTTTGCTCAAGTCGTAGTATATGTCTTGTTTGAGGAAAATATTATAGTGGTCCTCAACTGTTTTGAGTTTGAATTGAATATAAAAATTTTTAAAAAAATTTGAAAATGAGGGAATGACAGATTCGTGAGGGAATGATTTTTAATATGATTCTACAATAATTAAAAACTTTATAATGCACCAATCATTTGTTTTATTACAAAACTATAATAATTAAATCCATACTGTAACAATTTGTCATACTCCTTTTTCTTTAGCTTTGCTTCTGCAGCGGTTTATTTTCTATTTCTCGACATTATAGACGTTTAGGGTACTGAAACCAATCAAAAAAATATAAGTATTCTATATTTATTAGAAAATAAATAAAAAACTACAAAAAAAAATTAAAGTGGGATTTGGTAGGCCTTGGAGTATTGCTCCAATCACACTGTTACAAAACGGTGAGGGAATGATACTTTTTTTAAGGACAAATTTTGAATTATATTTAAAAATATTTCCATTCGCATTTATGAAACTATGAACTCATATAGGTATAGTCAATACTATCCTATATAAGTAAAAAATATGATAATAAACAATTTGTTAGGAATTTTACGTTTTAAATTAATGATTATCTTCAAATTTAGCGCTTGGGACAAAGTGAGGGAATGATTTTTAGGGTACTTTCTTGGACATATCTTTGTTGTTTATCATATAAAAAATAAATTTGTTTCATACATTCGTAGCTAGTACAGTCGTATTATTAAAAAAAACAACTTTTCATAATTGACAATCCTGGTTTATAAAAATGATCAAGGACATCAATTTCAATATTTTTTGAGAATCAGCCATTTATTTTTGATTAAACTACAAAATGTAACTCGAAATATAATTTTATTTAAATTTTAATGTCAAATGTGATTATTGGTTGAACATATGTTTGTAAAGGAATAAAATGTGGGATATTGTATCGCAGGCAATTGATTGTTTACACAATTGAGCCACAAATTTGCACAGGTTACATGATAATTATTTTCATTATAAATTATTTTGTCACTAGTAATAACTGTTAAACAGAGCGCACAAGAAATACATTCTCCTTGATGAAGAGGCCAAGTTGGTAGTTCTGTTACGATCTACAATAATATAAAAAGCGTACTTGTTGAATTATTAAGTATATACTTGTAATATTAGTTATATTATGTTAAATGTAATTCATGTGTGAGTTGTGTTAGGTTTATCTATATACGTAATTTCTTACTGGTATATTTGCATAAAAGGGTTCCATTTCTGCCCAAATTCTATCAATATCCATAAGAAGATCATCAAATCCAATAATATTTATATCCATTTCTTTATAAGAAAAATTAACACGTCTACAAACTGCTGCAACTTCAGCTAAATCTAATAAAAAGAGATTTCATATTTGATATTACTATATTTATCTATATATTGCTTTATAAAAAGATTAAGACTAAAATTACTTACTGCAAAGAAAATTATATCCTTGTGCAGTGTTTAATACTTCATTTAAAATAACTTCAGATGTTATGTTATTAAATATATTAGCTGCAATCTGTAATAGTGAAATACAACTTTCCATATATTGCTTCCATTCCCAATAGACCGTCTGAAAAATATTATACATGCATACAAATATATACATTTATTTTTATTTTTTTTTTTATTCGCAATTTACTGGTATTCTTGTACCTGTTGCGTAATTTGGGCTATTTGATCTTCTTCTGAATTTGTGGGTAAAAAAGACTTTAGATCTAAGCTAGGAACAGAACCTGATCTTGTTATTGTTCGATCAGGTATTCCATTTATCAATTCTATACTATTAAGAGATATAGCATCTTCCATTTGAATAGGTTTACCTAAATGAAATTTAATAATAACCAATTTTTAATATTGCTATTCATTAAAAATATTTCTTTTATATATACATATATATAATGAAAGTGTATAATCAAATATTTATATACATTGTCATACCTGGTTCAATCTTAGGTTCAAATTTTTCATTAATTCTTTGTACTTCAACATTGTTTTCAAATTTGACATTGTTCAAAGATTTTGTAATATCTTGTATAACATCAATACCTGCTGTATTATTATCATCGCTATTTGTAAAAGATTTTGATTCAAATTCTGTTATTGTATCTGCAAAATATCCAGGGTTCGAATTATCCAAAATAAAATTATTATCAGTAATTATTGTTTGTTCAGCAGAAACAAATTCTCCAAATTCGTCATTTGATGCAGTAGAGTCAACGGAGTTTGTTTTGTTTGATACTGATGTTTCATTTACTAATGCACGCAATGCACTATATTTATCTTCGGTAGATTGTAAATTCATTAAATCTCTTGGATCAGATTTTATCTCTTTAATACCAGCCTGCAAAAAAAGAATTACTATTTTAAATGATAAATATTCTAAATGATATATATATATATATATTTAATTAATTTTTAATGTATACCTTATCAACAGATTCTACTTTACACATAACAGATCTATTACCAGATAATTGTGCATTTTCTAATATATTAGTTTTAAGACCTTTCATAGTTTCTCCATCTTCCTTTGGTAAATCATTATTTCTTATAATAGTATCTTTTAATATTACAGTTTTCGACTGATTTTTTATTGCACATTTGGGAAATAATTCTGATAAACGTTCTAATGATAAATTTTGAGAGACAGGATTTAAAGAAGTATGCGTTTGTGGATGAAAGTTCATAGTTTTCGAATTAGTATTATTTCTTCTAGGTTTCTCAACTGGTTTCTTAACACCTAAATTATGATTTGCTAATCTACTTCCAATTGCGGAGCCTTGTTTCATATCCCAATTAGATATGTTAGGTGTATTATTGACAATAGGTGCACTTTGAAATTCAGAAAAATCATCATTATTATCCAACGTACATGTATTACTTTTTGTTTCCAAACGAATTTTATTATATTTGGAATAATCTTTGACACAGGTATTTGAATTAGAACTTATCATTAATGTAGAAGACATATCATTGTCTAAATAGGGTGTCTTCTCTGATAAGTTTGATACTGGTAAATTAGAATCAAATGCAAATTGACCAGTTTTAGTTATTTTCCCTTTAATTTCGGACGTATATTTTTCTTCTAAATTCATAAATCTATTATTAGATTCCTCCTTCTTATTAGCTTGATATTTTGACAATGGATTAACGACATGCATTGCAGATTGCACATTTAATACACATTCTATGTTTAAATAAGGAATTGGCGGAAATGGAAGTAAATGTAAAATGTCTAAGCTATTAAAGGTATAAGATGCTTGTGCAGCAGCAACAAGAGCAAGTACAATATAAAGTTCTTGTTCTGTAAGTTGTCCAGCATATTTTTGATTTGCTAAATTCCATATATGACCTAAAACTTCCATCGAGAGTTGGCTCGTAAGTAATAAAGGAAATACTTTATTAGTGTCGACTAAAACTTCCGTCTGCAATCCATTAGATTTAATTCTATCTTCTCTTACCGATTCCCATACAATTTTATATATAGGTGGTAAAATGGCAGAATTAGCCCACAGCCAAGTTGGTAGCTGATTTAATTTTTTATCCAAATGAGTTTTATTCATTTTGTTATCAGTTGAGTTAAACTTTGATAAATATTTTCATTAATCCAACAACTTGTCAATAAAAGACAATTTTTTTTTCTATTAACATTTTTTGTGTTAAAAGAAATATATATATATATATATATATATTATTGTTTAATACATTTAATATAATAAATAAAATATATGGCAACGCGTTAAACGTTATTAGACATTGCCAATAAAATATTATAGAAATTTATGAATATTTTCCTTTATAAATACATCACATATTTTTTCACTCAACACAGCTGGCTCGCCCTTTTTAACATCACTAAAGTAGTACACAAATCCACGAATTATTATTATTCATTGTAATAAGCAATGAATATCATCATATGAATGAACAAAATATTTCATGATTTTATGGTATATTCAATACTCTCATTAAAAACAAATTATATTTCCTTTAAACTATACTCGAAAATTTGTTGATATACATAACTATAAAGAAATACAAACTAGATACGTGCATACACATATAATACTTCCGCGTACAGCGCTTTAACCGTTTCTACTGACGTCATATTTACAATTAAAAAAAAAACACTCTTACATCAATTGACACACGATTGCGAAGAATAATGAAGACAAATAATTTATTAAGTTTTGCATAATTTCATATCTTTTAATTATCTAAATTGATTCCGAAGTATAAACATTTTCGAATAGATAAGAAATTATAACCAGGAGCGTATTAATACATCGATTATTGGTAATAACTTCATTAATTTATAGTCAGTATTATTCATTTTTTTTTATTAATTACGCAAATAAATTATAAGGCAGTATATGAAAATTGTATTGTAAGAATATATATTTTGAGAAATATATTTGATAAAGAGTTTATAAAAGTTATTTTTTGCGAATTTTTAATTAGAATAATTTAATTGTATAAATGTACAAAGTAAAATAGAAAGAAGAAAGAGAAAATATTGAACATGATATATTGGACTTATAACAATTTTATTCGTTAAAATTAATTAGAATATAAAACTTTTCTTCTTGAAACGTAAAATAATTGTTGACATGCGCACTAATAACGTGATCTCTTGTAAAGTTTAATGGTGCCATCTTGCGATAAAATTTGCTAATAGTTATGTTATAACGGCAACGCTGTACAAAACGTGGAGTGTTATTCGCGCTTTATTTTCGGGATTGATCATTCTTGAATATAAGTTTAAGTGATCTGTATATAACATAGGTAGAATTCTCGATATCTTCATTGATTTCTACGCAATAACTCGGCTGAAGTTTGAAACGTAAGTTATTTAAAATGTATTTGCGTCAGAAGTTATTCGATCAATAATTTGCGTTTGCTTTATTCTAACCTATCGTTTAGTTCTCTCTATTTCTTCATATTATATGTTATTTTTTTTTAAATCACTTTTTTATCACTAGGTAGCTAATTATTATTTACATAACACAATATTATTTATTTTATAGATTAAGTTTAATTTATGGAATAGTAAATTTCTAAATGTTTCTCTCTCTTTCTCTTTTTCTTTCTCTCTCTTTCTCTCTGTCTTTCTTTCTCTCCCCTCTCTTTCTCTTTTTTCTCTAGGTATGTAGTGTATTTTTGATTAATAGACCCCCCTCCCCCTATTCCACGTGTGTATATATATATATTCGTGACACACATTACTTTAATATTAAATAAAGTTTAATGGATAAAAATATTTAAGAGTATTCATATAACTGTATAGATTATATTTGCAAAAGATAGAATTTTTAGGTTATAAAATTAACTAATTAAAAAAATACAAAAAGGAAAGAGAAAAAATAGTAGATATTACAAATAATAAATTACTTATATTCAATTAGTGTTATCATATAATAATATATGTATTATATAATAAATAGTTTATATATATATAAACAATTTTTATTACTTAGGCTATAAAATGTATAATGGTATCGGCCTACAAACACCTCGTGGATCTGGAACCAATGGACATGTTCAAAGAAACTGGGCTATTGTACGCAAAACGAAGGACAAAGTTAATTACAAAACTGATGAAGGAAAGATAGAGCAAATAAATAAACAACCTAATAAAGAGATTCTCGATCATGTCAGAAAAAGAAAAGTTGAAGTTAGATGCGCAGAATTTGCAGACCTTTTGGAGGAACAAGGGTAGATATATTTTTATGCTATTTTTTTTTTATTATACTTTTATTATTTATATTTGTTTATAATCATTCATCGTTGATAAGGTGAAATTACAAAAATGTTTACTTTGTATAAGGTGATTTTTGACACTGGAATAAATTATTGTTCTTTTTTAAAGTAAAAATAGAAAAAATGATAGATGAACATATTTGATAGCATAATACAGCCTAACTTCTTATTTTTTATTTGGATGCACCAATGCATCTGCCAGGTGCAATTGTACTTCATTCTTTAATGTAATCTAATTTTTTTTTTTTTTAAAGAAATTTATTCCTTTTGTTATTCTGTGGATAAAAGTATTAATCTAACATTATCAAAATATTCATACTGTACGAGATATTTGACCTTTTATATCAGTGTATGTGCATTATTGTATTCACATCAAAAATAAGAAAATAGGAAGTTAGGACGTATTATGTCATATAATTTTTTTCGATTTTTATTTAAAAAAAAAAAAAAACAATAGCTTATTTTAGTTTCAAGAATCACCCTGCATAATAATGTTTAATATGCAAGCATAATCTGATTTTAATATCAATAAAAACAAGAGAGTATTATATAGGACTTTTTTGCTATTTTGCAATTTGTTTACTTAGTTATTAATATTTACAATTATTTAGTTAAATTTTAGTATGTATATACGTATATATATATATGTTATGTTAATTAAAAATTTACTAACGATTATAAAATTTATTTTTACAGATTCACGAATGAAGAAGTAACAAAGAGAGTTGAATCTTACCGTTTGATGTTAATGGGAACAGAGATGAAGACAAATACGCCACGTGACGAATTTGGCCGTATAAAGTAAGCTTTTTTCCTATACTATCAAACATTTCTTTAAATATTTATTTTTTAGAATTATCAAAATTTTTATAATTTAAATACAAGAAATTACTATTATATTTTTTTATTATTCCAACAATATTTTTGTTTAATCGTTTAAAAAAGTATTATTATCGTTTCTGAACGTTAACTTGGATAAAATCGAATATATTTGTGTGATTGTTCTGCAGAAGATTTAAAAGGTTTCTTTCCAAGGTCTTTTGCACATAAATTTATATCGTTATAGGATTCATATCTGACACTGTGTTCATATTCTAAAATATTGTTGCAATTTAATGACAATAATATTATTTATATAATAATATAGACAGAATTTACGTTTTTCAAACAAATATATAATCAATGATTTGTACAGATAAGACCTATACAAATCATTCATATATTTATATTCATACCAGCAAGAAAGCTATGTGTATTAATTAGTATATTTTTAAATAAAAATTCACAATTTCATAAAATAATTAATATCATTTGGATTAGTAATACAATATTTTATCAAGAATAGAAATTTCTGTTTCTCTCTTTCTGTTATTCTAGTAATAGGATAGATTAATCAATTAATTAAAATTGAAAGATTATTAAAGGGGTTGTGCATACACCCTATTTTCCTTCCTTCCTTGTTTGGGTCATATCGACGTATTCTATAGCGCCGGCGCTAATCGCGAGAAGGAAGGGAGAGTGGAGGAGAGTTGGGGAGATGGAGATGGGTGAAGAAAAAGGGGGTAGTTGGAGGGATCTGTAAGAGACGACGATACGAGTTTATTCTATCATTCGAAGGACGCTATCGCAGTGCGAGAATGGATCGCGAAGATGCGACGCTATGCGTCAAGAAATATCGACGAAACCATCATAGAAATATTGAACATTGAAAGGATCAACAAAACAAAGGACAGAAATTAACATAAACATAATGTAATCGTAAAATTAACGTAAAATCACAAAAGTCTTCCATTACCATATTATATATATATACACATAATATCGATATATATACATATATAGATCCTAGATACATATATATATACGCATACATATATACATATATATATATATACATACTTATGTATATACTAGATATTAAGTGTTAAAATCGTGTTGAGAAAAGTGCTACGTTAGATTTCTAATGAACGTGCTAATAAAAAAAGTGATATTTCTAATGTGAACAGAAGCATCTTTCTTCGAAAAATCTTGTATACAAAAATTCAAAGAAATTTCTATAAGAAAAAATATAAATCGTAATATTTGATTTATATTCTGAATAGTAAGAAGGTTTTCTATTTGATACAAAAAAAGAAGAAAGAGAAGAATATTTGGCAGAGAATGTTGATAATATATGTGAAGAAAGAAGAATGTTCAACACGTCGATAAATATTAATGACGACGAGATGAGTAATATTAACGTTCCAGATATCCGAAAATAAAGGATTCGACAATAGCTAGTGTGCCTGATCCAATGTCTTCCTTATTATTTAAGCTGGCGATCTCAATGATCTAATAATGTTAGCGTCTGTATGTGTATAATTAACATACATATAACAAAATAATTATATATATATATATATATATATATATATGCGATAAGAAAATCATTATAAAAAATAAGGAGTAAATATTGTGTGAATGAAATTATAGTAAAAATATAATTACAAATGATAATGAAGAGGATATCAAATTGTTGAGATAAAAAAATCTGGATTGAGATAAATAAAATAAGACAAGAAAGAAGAATATATAGATACATATTGGATGAAGAAAATAAATCCAAAAGTAACATTGCACACAAACGTTTCCGGCGTTCTCAGCAAATAATTGTTCTACCCAGCAAAAGCAAGAAGATTTCGAATACAAAAGGCTTTCTTGGAAGTTTCTTTGAGTGTGTGTGTACGTTTGTGTGTATATATATATTTCGTGTGTGTGCGCGCGGGGGTATGAAATGAGTACAATAAAGGAAGGAAAAGCATTACGTTCGCTATCCTATTCATAGTCTTGTTACACTCGTCTCTTACTCTCTCTTATTATCTGAACTATTACAAATGTCTGTCATATCAAACTGGGTTTCATTTGATGTGTGTCTTTTTCAATCTCATCATCTTCATCATCTTGATACTAATTGTAACATTCAAACTGAAACATTTACTCTCTTTCTAATCTCCTATAATAGAGATTAAATATAATCGAAGATTCATTTATTTTCAATTAATTGAAATAGAATTTGTGAGAGGAAGAGTTTATTTGTATGTATATTGGACACAGATATATATATATATGTATAAATATTACAAAAAATATCCTGCAAGAGAGAATGAAGAAATAAAAGAAAAATATCTTCTTTAATTACTGAAAATTCAAATAAGGATATATTTGTTTAAATTTTTATCTCATAATTAAGATTATATATAACCGAAGGAAGATCAATTTATTTTCAACGAATTTGAAGATTCTATGCATTAAACGCAAATACAATTAAACATTAAAAAAAAAAAAAGGATTAAAAAATAACATTTCAAAAAGAAGAAATAAAGACATAGCAATATTTATTTGAAAAAGCAACTTCAATAACTATTTTTAGTTATTCAAAAACGAAGTTGTTATTTTTATATATTATACCATTAGAAAAGGTAATGACTATGTCTACAACAACACCAACATCAACGCAAAAAGTAGCCCGTGGACGAGGGCCAGCAGATGGTCGTGCGTTTTTTGAAACGTTATGGCGTGGTAATTTTTTCCTCGATCGACAAAAAGTTTTCAAACGTGGTCGTAAACGTAAACTGCAAGCTTTAAATGAAAAGAAACGTGCCCAATTACAAATGCGACAACATTGTTGTTGTTGTCAACGTATACAACTGCATCTTCTTGCCGGACGGGGAAACAATGTTCGCTCCGTTGTTAGGTAAACTTTTAGCGATATTCCATTGTTTTTGGTCTAATAGAACAATACAATTATTAACTGTTTTTTGTTTTCTTTCTTTTTATTTATTTTCTCTATAATAATTCATATAACGTTAAAGTTATAATAATATAATCTTATTCTATTCATTGTAAATCTTGGTATGTTTAAATTAATTTATATAAAATTTTCGTTGAGAGATACAAAATAATAATATTCGATTTGATAAATAAATAAAAAATTATTCTGTATAAAAAAAAGTATTTTTCTATTTTTATATATATATAAAAAGAAGAAATCTAATGATTTAATTTTTGAGGGACATTTTGATATTACAAAATTTTGAATATGAAATACTTTCAAGAAAAAAAAATATTAAAAAAAACACGCGCGTGCACACACACATACACCAAAAATAAAAATAAATAAATAATTTTTTTTCCAATGACCAATCGAATTTTGAATTTATTCGTATGTACAAACGAATGGTGCTAAAGGGATAGCGGAAAAGTGTATACCACCAGCTGGATTGTATTGATCCGTAGAGTCGTGAGCGTTGGCGTAGGGGTGGTTCGAATGTTCTCTTCTCCTCCACCCCTAGTTCGCTACACCCTTTACCCCTACTCCAATCTCTTGTCGTTCGAAGCTTTCATTCCCCGCAAAGAAGGGAAACAGTTCGGCGGTTCCTCGGGTATTCTACGTTCTTTCTCCCTCTCCCCCTTCTTTCTCTCTCTCTCTCTCTCTCTCTTTCTTTATATATATGTATATCTATCTGTGTTATGTCACTTTTCCTCCTCCACGTCCTCATACTCCTCCTCTTCATCCAAATCCACCTACAGCAGCAGCACTACCCACTACTACCTTTTCCCTTTTTGCCACTAGTAATCTTCGTCATTGTTATCCATCATCATTATTGGAATCTCTTTAATAATATCCAACCGTTCCGTTTGATCCTCTCTTGTTTCTTTGATCTATCCATTCGAATAAAACGGCAGTGAATATTTCAATACAACAATAATAATTATAGTATTAACAATAATAGGTATAATAATACAGAGAAGAAACAGTTTATCAACAATGACTGTTAAAATATCATCGCGGTAGGTTTATACTTTATATTTAAAATCGCGATGGTCATTATTGTGTTGTTGTTGTTATAATAGTGTTATTGTTATTATCTCTTGTAAATTTATTTTTTTTATTATTATCGACCTGATGAAAAAATGCTAATATTGAAATTATTTCTATTAGTATCGTTATTGCTATTATTTTGTCTTTTGATATGGTCAAATTGTTACAATATTTACATTATTATTATTATTATTCTTTATTATTTATTTTTGATGAAATTGCAGCGTTCGAGAAACGCATCAGATAGCTGAGGCACAACAAGAAAAAAACGCTAAATTACGGGAAGCCTTTGGAATATCAGAATACTTCGTGGAAGGAAGTAGCCTAGATCCAGAAAGACGAGCACGAGAAGCCGAAGCAAGAGCCGCGGCGAACAAGGTTTACGAATTAGTTCGTACTCCTAGCCCTGCTCCGGATACTACCTCTGCTCCAGAAAAGAAGAATAAAAGAAAAGGTTCTGGTAGCACATCCAAGAAGAAAAAAGGAAAGAAGCATAAAAAAGAAAGGTATAAAACAATAAACTGTGCAGAAGTCAATGGAGACTGGACTCGGATGTTTGCTATATTTTATTGTTAGATGTGTACACACACACAACATATACACGCACGTCGTGTATATATAAGTGTGTGTGTGAGAAGGCAAAGAACGAAACAGTATATATATGTGTATTTATATAAATATTTTTATAACAAAAAAAAATATATATATATATACACGCACACATAAATTTATTGGATTATATATTGATATTATGCCATCATTAATGAATTTTTATGAAAAATATTAGAAACAGAACAAATAAGAATTTTCTATATCCCTTAATAGCATTAACGCGATGACATATACGAGTCGAGGCTCCAAGACTGCACAATCCTTACTCCTTGTAGTTCCCTTCATATTTTTCCTTGATTAATTATTCATTTATCGCAATTATCCACTCGTTCATTTGCTTATTATTACACGTCAACTTATCGGATTCTGAATCATTACTCGCCTACTATTTCATGCCCCATACAACTTTCTCTGTTTCAAACAGAACTAAGGAGGACTGAATGCCTATCTAATAGGCTTTTAGTTGGTAAGTATGGATGTCGCGTACATTTAACGAACAAAACAAAATTAACGTTTCAATAAATAATATTGATCTTTGATCGCGAAAGAAATTGTCAAATTGTTGCATTTTTTTCATTGAGTATTAAGGTGTCCTTTTATCAAAATGAATAGGCGCGAAATTTAAATTATTATTGATATTATTCCATTTATTGCAATGATTTTTCCTTAGAGGTAAATGTTTGTTGCATTTTATTTATTCTTGTTTTAAATCTAATTAATAATAATACATATCTCTTCTCTTATCTTATCTTTCATTGATTTCAATCTCTAAATAATTAAAACAACATCATTCCAAATATCATTGGCAAACATTTACCTGGCGTACAACACTAAGCACAGGTTTAATATAACGCACAATTATGTTGCGTACTACATTCATGCATTTCTATCTTTGTTGTTGTTATCGATAAAGCTTGTTGTTAATGTCATCTCTCTATTTTTTTCTGACAAGTCCGTCCCTATCGATGGTTATCAAGGTAATGCTAATCCCATATTATAACAATACTCCTCATACTTTGTATACTTGTCTTTTTCTCAAATTTTTTTTTGAAAGATTTAGTTTTCTATACAAAGAAAGATTTTATTTATTTATTTATTTATTATTATTATTATTATTATTATTATTATTATTATTATTATTATTATTATTATTATTATTATTATTATCATCATTTTGATTTTTAATTTTATTATTATTATTATTATTTATAGGATTTGTGTGTAGAAAGTGTTTTTAGAAGAGGCAATGAAATAAAAACTAAATCTTTCAAACACTAATAAATAATTAAAAAAGAATATATTTAAAAAAGCAAACAAATACTTATGTAGTCAATTCATTAGCCATGTATAGCTGGAACATTGTGACTTTTCACCTGTGCATTTATCGTTGTTTTACGTCTTTTTTATTTTATTTCACTTGGAATTGCAGTGATACATTAATCTTCACTGTGAAATTATTTATCAAATTAATTATTATACACTGCACTACCAAAAATTATTATGTAAGTTCGATATTTTTGTTTAATCTTTTTTTTTTTTTATTTTTTTTTTTTATTTTTCAATTTTTGGACTATAACTCCAATACTCAAAGAATTTAGTGTGTAAAATTTCATTGACAATATATTTTCTCTCTCGATTATTATTCGCTGTTATTATATACATGTGATTAAAAATATTAAGCGTGATGAGAGGTAGCTTATGCAGAGTCAGAGTGAAATACTCGTTTGACACACAAGTATATATACATATATATATACTACAAAGGCTTTCTTTATTGTCAGCACAAGGTATGCACTTGTCGACAGGAAGACGCCCACTGCAAGAATTAATAAATATATATATATAAATATCATTAAAAATAAATTCATAACAATTATCTACGGAGAATCTTTTAGTCTAATGCAATATGAATTTCATAGGTCAGAATCTCCAAGAACGTCTAAGAAGAAAGAAAAATCTAAGAAAAAGAAAAAAGAGAAAAAACACAAAAAGGTAGAGGCCAGTTCTTCTGACAGTGATTCCAGCGATGATACCGAAGAAAGCTGGTAATTATTATACAAATATTTACATGAAAATATAAAATTATAGTTATGGTCAAATAAGAAACAGAAAGTTCAAGTTGGGAGTGAGAATCGAATTAGAGAAAAGTAAGAAATTATATTAGAGAGTTGTTGAGACGGAAGCTTTGTAACCTTCGGGATGTAATAAAATGCATATAGAATACATACAGAATTAAAAAAAGAGAAAAAAGAATCTAATATTATTTTATGTGATTCTTATAGTTCGTCCGAAGCTGAATCAAAAAAGAAGAAAAAGAAGAAAAAGAAGAAAAATAAAGCTGAAGGAAAAGAAAAATCCGAGGTATGAAATAATGTTATAATATTTAAAAAAAGATTTAAAAAACTAAAAAGAAAAAAAAAAAAGAAATAGTATGTGCAAAATTTCCCCTGCTCTTTTTCTATAACGCACGCATGAATACGGATACACGATAAACGAGCAAACGCAGAAAGGTGAAGCATGTAATGCCACAGCATGCAAAATTTTCATTTTGTTTATATTAAATTAGTTGCGAATTTACATCAAACTTTATTCACATATTTTTATTGTTTATATTTATTTTCTAATCTGATACGATTCGTGATTCGCTCTATTTATATTATCTTTTAACATTTTTCTCTGATTTTTCAAGTTAACAGTCATTATTTCTAAGTATAAATCTCGGTATGTTTGTAATTATCAGCGCCATTTGACAGGATACATTCCCTAAGTGAGTACCAGATATGCCGCTACTCGTGTATTATACGTATTAAACAAATTTATTATTTGTACGAATGTGTACGAATTTTTATGATTGTGTTTATGTATATTTCACATATTCGTTTTGTAAAAAGCACTATCTATTATTATTATTATGCAATAATTTAGTTTAGGAAATTGCTTATTCTTAAACAAATATTCATATTATAAAAGATATTGGATGTATATATATTATTTATTTTTCATTTAAGTTATAATTAGCTTCCGTCTCAATATCGTTAATGTATTATTATCATCAACGTTTTAAGTTAATCTATTTAAAAAACATAATTAGAAAAGGAAGAAAAAACATTAATGTATTAAAGAAAAACAAAAATATTAAAAATATTATAGGAATAAGCAGATTCCTAAGAATAAGCAGTTGCATGATTGATGTAAGATTATTAGTTTTATAATTTCTATTAATATATATTTTATTTTTTTATAGAAGAAAAAAGCAGCGCTAAAGAGGAAACATCAGTCAACGGATAGCTCTACAGACAAGTAAATGAAATATTTTCTATTCTATATCTAATACATAAATACTCTTTTAAATTTGATTATAAATAAAATTAATTATATTATTTGTAAATTTATTTTAGTTCGCCAGAGAGGCCAAAGAAAAGTGCAAAACATGATAAAGTCGTTATAGAGAAGAATGCCGCAATCGATGAAAGTGAAAATATTACGAAAGAATATAAAGCAAATAGGTCTCCAAAAAAACCTGTGGAAAGATCGTCTCGCAATGAAACACCGCCAATAAAGAAAAGGGAATCATCTGCAAAGAAAACTATTAATGCGGATAAAAAAGACAAGTCACCACCAATAATACATAAAACTCCACCACCTAGACGTCATAGATCTCCGTCTAGAGGAAGAACGGATAGAGGAAGATCTCCGAGAAGATATTCGAGATCACGACGCGTTACGTCATCACCAAGAAGAAGGAGAATTTCAAGATCACCACGACGTCACAGTAACAGATTTTCTATATCAAGAAGTAGAAGTCGTTCAAGATATGATCGTTATGGATCAAGACGTAGACTATCTCCAATACATAGACGTAGGAGATCAGATTCTCGTAAAAGATCTAGATCTCCAAGAAGACCAAAGGAAAGAAGAGATAAATCACAGGAACGTCGTAGAAGCCGTACTAGATCAAAAAGTAGATCTAGACGATCGTCTTTGAGTTATTCACCGGTGCATAGACATCCAGAACGTTATAAGGATATATTAGAAGATAAGAAAAAGCGTGAACAACAAAAGAGAGACCGTGATAATAGACCAAAATCTCGATCAATATCAAAAAGTAGAAAAATACAGCAAATGATTACTCCTCGAGTAAGTTTGAGATCTTCTAGCGAAGATGAAGGTGATATAGTGGACGATGAACCTAAACAAGAGGATGAAGAAAAGATTAAAGAATTAAACACATTGAAACGCTTACAATGTGGATTAGCTGCTAAGGCTAGAGAAACATTAGGGAAAAAAGTGATAAGTCCTGTTAAAGTTAAATTGGAAAAGAAAGAAGAATCCATTTTCGACATAGCATTGCCCGTGGAACCACCAAAACAAATTGAAGATCCAACTAATTCTTCTTCTTCTTCTTCTTCTTCCAAAGAAAAATTAATCTCACCTGTACACCTGCTTCCTGTCGTACAATCACCGGTTTCGAGTCGATCACCTTCACCAGCATTACCATTGACTCGTGAAGAAGCTGCAATTAAAATTAGATCACCAAGTGAATCACCACCGCCCTTAGTGCAAACACCATTGGATAAAACTACTCCTAAGTCACCAATTATTTCAACAACAATTGCAACAATATCAATAACACCAACGACGACAACAATAAAACAATTTTCTTCAGGCTCTAGTAATACCAAGAAAAGTTCTCCAATAATTCTCCAAAGACCTTCTCCAAAAAGTAATTCTTTGACGCACTCGCCATCTACCATGATTTCTCACAAAGATATTATGATAAAGTTAAGATCTCCAAGCGAATCACCACCATCCTTACCAAGCGACACCATTCACAAATCCGATACAAGATCTAGATCTCCAAGTTCATCAAAGAGAAATTCTCCAATAGCTAGAAAACATTCTTTGAGAGATAAATCATATTCCAGATCTCGATCGAGGTCATATACAAGGTCGTTATCTTTGGAGAAGAGGTCTTCCACATCACCAAGACACCATTCAAGATCTTTATCAAGAAATAGATCGCATTCGCGTGCTCGTAGTAAAAAATCAATATCACCAAAGCACAGACCATCGAGATCCGTTTCTAGATCAAAGAAATCACCTAATTCTCTTCAAGCACATTCAAAAAGAATTTCAAGATCAAGATCTTCCTCTAGATCAAAACACTCTCCATCTAGATCCCCTTCTAGATCTAAAAAATCACCTTCTCAGTCACCTGAAAAGTCAAGATCTAGAAGTAGAAGCATATCATTGTCAAAAAGATCCAGAAGCTGTTCTTTATCCAAAAAATCAAGAAGTAGATCATTATCTAAAGGATCCAGAAGTTGTTCGATAACAAAAAAATCAAGGAGTCGTTCATTGTCGAAAAAATCAAGGAGTCGATCCGCATCTAAGAAATGCAGAAGTCGTTCGTTATCGAAAAAATCAAGAAGCCGATCTAGATCAGCATCTAGAATGTCAAGAGAGAAAAAAAAACGAAGTAGAAGTAGAAGTACATCGCGTTCTTCTGTCAGGTATTAAATCCTTTTTATATTTACAATTCTTACTCTTCCTGTGTATTTTCTTACATGTTTGTAATACTCAGATATTTTCTTTTACTGTAGAAGTATCTATATCGCAAAACAAAATCAAGTATTGAAAGTATCCAAGTTTCTATTTATTATTCTAATTTAGAAATTGAAATAAAAAAATTATGTTTAGTTCGACAAGGCATAGTCGTCGAAGTTTCTCAAGTTCTACACGATCAAGCAGCAGTGCATCAAGCAGATCTTCGCGCTCAACTTCCAGCAGTTCAGGTTCTAGTAGATCCCGTTCACCGTCTATACCACGTCGTCACGGTTCACCTAGTTTTCTTGATAGACGTCGGATTACAAGGTAAATCATGTAATTAGAAAAAAAAAAAAAAATTCTTGCTATTATCATAGCGATATGTTTACACACAAAAAATGCACCAAGGTAAATCTGTAATATCCCTTTTATCATCAACTCTCTCTCTCTCTCTCTTTCTCTCTTTCTCTCGCGTAGTATTGCTTTTTCTTTTGTTTAAAAATATATTTTTATTTTTTATTTTTTCCTTTCCCTCCATCATGATTATTACAGTTATGTTTAAATTTGTAATTACATATTTTATAGATATTATTTACATTGTATTCATTAGCGTACATTATATAAATATATTTAAAAAAATAAAATATAGAAAATTCTGAAAAATATATTCAAAATGATAAACAAATTTTTGTCTACAAATTTTTCTCTTATTCTTTTTCTCTTTCTCTATCTCTCTTTTTTATAAATATTTTTATTAAGTTATTTATATATTATATTAGGTAATTTTCTCTAATACTATTTTGTGTTTGTTATGTCAAACAGGGACAGATCGAGGAGCAGGCATAGAAGATAAAACTATGGCTACACTCAGATATATTTGTTACTTTACTACACAGTTGACATAGCAACTCTTTCATATTGGTCTTTTTTCTTTAAGACAGGAAATATTTTGCCATTTCATTTGGAGTTTACAATTAACGAAACAATATAACAAAATTTATCATATATATATAATATATATAATACATGAAAAATTGCATAGTTTAATTAATTATAAATGAAAATCAAAGAAATATTGAATTGTTTATTTAATACGCTTTTAAAATAAGTGTAAATGCAGTTGTTTTCTACAATATTTAATTAGTTGTAATTCCGAGTACATTTCTTCTCCTAATATTCTTACAATGTGTCCAACAAAATATTTAGGCTAAATCAACAAAGTATCCCAGTATTCGCATATATACATTTCTTTTTTTTTATAAAAACCAGATTATGTTTCATTATAATTTTTCCTTTATATTTATATATACTCATTATTGTTTTATAAATGTTATGTAGATGTAGCATGTGTGTATTTTCTTTATAAGTTATTGTAAATTGAAATATTTACAGTAGAAAATTGAAATCCTTTTTATTTTATTTTAAAAGTCGAACACATGAAAATAAAATATTCATTTATCTTAGTATTTTAAGAGCTTCTTTTTAGTATAATCATATTTTTTTTCACTGTGTTTATAAGTAGAAAAAGAAATATAGTTATATAATTTTGACAAAGGTAAGTAACACACATTTTTCTTTTGCACGATTCACTTTCACAAATTGCATGATTCATTTCATATAAGCATGCTCGCAAAAAAGGCAGTTCGATTGAAATAATAAATGACAATTAAATAATGAATAGTATATATATATTTAACAATGCTAACAAAGTAATATATATTTATATGATAACATATTATCAAAATTTATTGAATGATAATTGATATTTAGTGTTAATTGATTATTAAAATATAATTCATAATATTTCTATGCCGTAACAATTGATTAAGTAATATATAATAAATATAATTCAATCTCATTCAGAATTCACACATTGGAGCTATATAAGTCCCTCGTTTTTGCCATGATATTTACACTCATTAATTTTAGTGCCAGGAAACGACCGATTCCATATCATCGACCAACTCCAACGCCGCCTTCATCACCAAGTAGTTCAGAGAGCAGTAGACGCAGTAAATGGTCGAGTCCAAGTCGTCGATCAAGCTGCTCTCCGAAGAGTCGAAGTCCATCTTACACGCGTTGAAACGTATTAATCGAATTGTCCTTAAAAAGAACACATAATATTCCTTTCCTATTGTATCAAATTTGGAATAAGCTCATTTGTTTGATTATATAATAGCACACACACATACACACACACACCACAACAACAAAGAGATTGTCCATAATTTGTTATATATTATTCTATTCCAAATTTGATAGACATAGTTTGAAATCTTTTTAAATTCATTATGAAACACACAAATTTGCTCTCTCCCTTTAATCTCTTTCTAACTTGGTAATACTCAATAATGGTTGCTCTCATCTCATAATATTATTGATTGAAATATATTAGTATTTTACCCCTTCCGGATAATTGATCCTTTTTTTTTTTCAAAAATAAAAAGTAATACTAAGATTATTATAGATCATATTTGTAGTCGATACGATGCATGCAGTTTGGCAGAACAATACTATAAACCACTTTGTATAGTAAAGTAAAGCTAAGTTAATATAATATATTTATTTTATTATAATTTATTCGCGACAACGCGTATCTAAAACGTTGGGAAAAAATGATATTTTAATAATAATGCTAATATGCGTAACTGATGAGACTTTTATAAAAGAAAGCAGAAAAGTATTTAAGTTACATCTTCTAGTCATGAAGTAATGGAATCTTTATAAGAAAAGAATTATGTGTGTCCCAACACCATAAACTTTAACATTGTATAAGCAATATAAAAATAGGAGATTATATCATTAATTACATTGATACTAAACATCTTTACACCTTAAGGATTTATATAATGATTTAATCTTTATTATTTCTAAATGAAAAAAGAGGAAAATAATAATAATTCTCCATTTTAACTGATAATACTATGTATGTACACTTAGTAATTACTTGATTGTGTAAAGTTGTTTGTTATACAAACACGTGCTAGTCAAATTTTATGTATTACTAGTGAGAAATTATGTTTTTAAAGATTGAATTTATTTGAAAAATGATTTTAAATCACTTTTTCTGTGCAATGTTTTCCTGCCATTACTTGTATAAAATAGGTGTGCCTATTTTTTTAGAAAGACATCAATTTGATTGGATTTAGTTTAAATTACTTTTTATAAATATAGATAAAATAATGTTCATTCTTTAATTTATTTATTTATTTATTAAATTATATATATATATATAAGCTTTGTCCATGGTAAATATTTGACAAAGCACAGAGGGAATCATAGCAATGAATATTTGTTTGCAATACTTCACTTACCTATACGTAAATAAGTCAAATATTATTTGGTTGTAAGACCAGGCAGCGTACCAAAAGACATAACTAGACTCTAGTCTTATTTATTCAAGAGTTAAGTCTTAAAGATGTATGTATAAGGTTGAAAAAAAATCATGTTTGGAAAATCTACGTTATTTATAAATAGAAGAGACCTGTATAATGTTAGGGCTGAATAAAGTACTATAACAACAACATATATAAAATATTTAATATCTCTTTATAATTATTGTTTTAGATGATCATTATATTTATATCATTCTACTGAAATTTTATACAGAAAATTCATTTTCTATTCGTGATAGTAAAATAATGCAATAAAATTTATTGACACACGCATGGAAAAATATTTTTTCTGAAAACTATTTACAACAGTACTTTACACAGTCCTAAATAATATTTGTTTATTGTATAACGACTGATACAACTTATCAAATATATTTGTCAATCGCAGTGGTGATAATGACTATACATATCTATATTATCTATTGATCATTCTTTTAAGCCTTTAAAGAATTCCATATACATACAATAGTCTATTCAACTACAGTTATCCCTCCATTTACGTGAATTTATTTTAATGCGTTTTAACTTCTAGAACTCAAATGTCATCGCTATGCGCTATGTGAAATTAAATATTCGGGGATCTTCTGTTATAGTTAATTTTCTTAATCGTATAAACTTATCTTTCTACCCCAGTAAGTGCACAATAAATATTTGAAAATGTGGAACAAATCCTGGTTTTAATAGCTTTCTATAGTTCTATTAACGCACTGTTTACATAGAAATAAATATCTGTGTAAATAGAGGGATTACTGTATATCTCTTTAGCTATATCATCTTTTGCTGCTTAATATATCTCATATTTAGTTAAGATGAAATCATGAAAATTTCTTTTATTATTACAAATAAACGCTTCCTATAAGAATCAGAATTAAAATAGATAAGTATCGATATGTATAATTTCTCTCGTGTTATTCTAAAATACACCACTAGCTTTTGACAGCAATATTTGCTGTTTATGATCTAACTGCATCAATTGTTATTACCATTAAAAGAAAACAAATATATATATAAATCTGATAATACCTGATCATATTCCTGTAACATATTCTGTATTGTTGTTGTGTGATTAAATCAAAACTTGAACATTAGTACCATTTATTTATTACACCAGTAATTACATTTATTTGTAAATAATTGGTAAACAATAAAATATTATCTTATGAAATTCATTTTAATGAATAATTTATTTATTAAAATATATGTATATATACGTAATATGTTTATTTAAATTATTTAATTATTATACAGTTATACGATAAAATTAAAATCAATAGCATTATACTAAGATATTATTTTTTTGATTTCTTATCACCAGCAGCTGCTACTTTCTCACATTTATTAGTCAGATAAATTGACCATATAAAACTGATTAAATCTAATATTAACGTGCGTAACTAAAAGAAAGTGGTAGAAAAAGATTATTATACATAAAAGGGAGGAGATGGGAGAGGTTAATATTAAATTCAATTTTTATATACATACCATTATAGGAACATATTTAACGTTTATGTATTGAAGTAATGTCACGTATTTCAGATTAGCTAGAAGAACGGGCCAATAAAGTTTGTTTAATTGTTGCTTTGAATCTTTATGAGATTTACCCTGATGATAATAAAATACTATATTAACTTGCTTATATTAAAAAAATTATATATCAATCATTCATAATTGAATTAAATTTACCTCTAATCGAGCAAGTGCATATAATGTTAATGCTTGAAAGCAAGGTGTATAAATGAGTCTTTCCATCAGAAGTAAAGTCAACGGATTCTTTACTAGAAAAGATGTATACGAATAAAAGAAATGTGGTACAGTACCACCTAATAACAATCTGTAAGAATATATAATTATAAATGTCTTATAAGAGATATATTAAAAACAAATATAATATACACAAAACAGAAAGTAGAGAAAATTAATAAAGTTATATTTATATATACATATTGATTTTTATATTATAAGAAGTTAAACAACAATCAAGTGTTTTGGAATTAAAAATTGAAAATATTCTAGTGAAGTGAAGTTAATCATTTTCTCTTGTGAACGACTCATATACGTGTATAAATAAATAAAATCTAAATAAGTTACCCAAAAAGACCAAATGCAATAAGTTTATCTTCATCTACAAATTTATTTCCACTTAATTTTTGTTGTATTAGATTTCCCAAAGCATTGATAATGCAGCTAAAAGTAAAAAAGTTTTATTAGTTTCTTTTTTTTATGACATTAAACATTTATATACAATTATACTTTATGAACATATTGTTGTGTATTTATATATATATATATAAATCTAATTACCTTGCAATAGCTTTTGTTTTAATCGGATTAGTATAAAGATATCGAAAGTACACACTTGTTAAATTAAAAATAATTTCTGTTGGTTTAGAAAACGCCATTTCTAGAAAATATTTTAAACGAACCTGAAAAATAGATAGTAATCATTTAAATTATAGTAACTATATAAGCGTTGTTATAATAATTCGAGAATGTTCTAATGCAAGTATTAGCATAAATTACAAAAGTGCAAAGTTCAGTCACAATTGACATATGTATACACAAGAAAAATCTATTAGGAAAACAAATTTAATTGACATGAATAGTTATTTTAGAAGAAATTTTAATAACAATCATTGATTTTCTATTGAATATTTATATAATACGAATATATGATATTTATGTAAACTTCAGCTGTCAAAGTAAGTTTACATTATGTCAATTTTATGTTTTCACCGGCACCTTGTATACGTATACTTAACATAGATCAGATGTGTATAATGCGTGTGTGAAAGATTTCAACAAATTCTACCTCATGAATAACATCAAATTGTGAAATTATATTCTGAATTTCAAACTTTTTTTTAATTATTTATAATATTTTATTTAATATCTATTTATTCTTATGTATAACACTATGGAAAGTTGTGAATTAATAAATGAACTTGATGAAAAGAAAACACTGAACGAAACTACCCGAGATTTGGATATTAATTCATCGATTGAGGTTAGGTTTGTTACCCCCTTACAAATTATAGATTAAATATTTTCGATTTTTATGTTTAATAATTCATACTTGCGTTTATACAGTTATTGATTTAAATCAATATTATTATTACCCGTTGCTGTTATATTATAAAAATGGTATTATTTTTATTTATTAATGTTATTATTTTAAAATAATTATTTGATTATGTGTAATCTTATTTATGTTATAACTTTATATCATGTTCATGTGTATGTAAGGGTTAATGTAAGTGTATATATTTTTCAAAGCTATGAAATATTATCTATTATTATAGATTATATCGGTGAGAAGCGAAGAAAGTATTCTTCAACAAGCATCAAAGGAGATCGAAGAATTATCTAAGTTACATTCAAGTCAGTCCACATTTCCAGACGATGTATCAATCAATAATATTGAAACAACTATTACTAAGAGCAATAATGATAAAGAATCGTTACAAAATCAAGTTAAGATTGGGGAAATTACACCATTTCAAGCAATTGAGAAACATAATACAAAAGCAGAAGAAGGGTAAAATAAAATGTTTATGTCACAATCATATTTAATTAAATATTATGTTGAACAAAAAATAAATTCTTATATTCTTCTAGATCTACTGATAAATTATCTAACTTATTGGATCTTCAAACGTATTTTCAAAGACAAGCCGAACTTGCTAAACAGAAGAAAAATTTGAAAAAAAAGTCAACACCGTTAAATAATGAAGAAAATAATTCAATACCAAAGAAAAAAATGAAGATAGAAAATAATAAGTCAAAATTAAGAAATAATAATTCTAGATCTTGTTCCAGTCGAATGAAAACAAATTCTGTTAAAGATCTAGCTAATACTTCTACTAATGCAAATAAAAAGGAATATATATCTATAAAATGTGATGCTAAAGACAATGTGATATCAGACAATGAAACGAATCGTTCTGGAAGTGAATATTTTCCTAGTGATGATGAAGAAGATTCGGGTAAGTTATATATATATATGATTGTGTTGCAACAATCTGTATATAAACAGAACTTATAAATTATTAATTTTAGTACTAATGTAAGATCAACCAAATATTATATGTAATATGTTATTACTTAGATATGGAACAAAAAAGAACTACTTCTAAGAAGATACATAGTAATAGTTCAAAATCCAAATGCACCAGTACAAAGAAAAGTATGTATTAATATAATATAAAAGTAAAGTGCTCTTCATTTTCTTATACGGTTTATATGTTTAGTATTAGATGATGGGGATGAACAGATTTACTTACAAAGAGTAAACAAAAATAAGAATATAAAAAATGAATCTGTACATATGGTGGATAATCTATTTAAAGTACCTCAGTCTATATGGAGAAGATTATATAAGTATATAAAATATCATAAATATAATAACAAAAATAAAAATATTATCTTTGAAAGATAAAGTTAAATAGACATAAATAATGATAATTAAAGATAAATAAGCATGATTTATTCAATTTTTCTACAGATATCAGAAAGTTTCTGTCCAATGGTTATGGGAGCTTCATAATCATAATTTAGGTGGTTTACTAGGAGATGAAATGGGATTGGGCAAAACAATACAAGTTATTGCATTTCTAGCTGGTTTAGATTGCAGTGAATTACTTTCTGATGGAGGAAGGTAAACATTTATATAATAAAATTAATGGAACATTGTATTTAATGATTTATATTTAATTTCCATTAATGTGTATAGATTTAGAGGACTGGGACCAACATTAATTATTTGTCCGGCAACTTTGATGGAGCAATGGGTAAAACATTTTCATGACTGGTGGCCTATTTTAAGAGTTGCTGTACTACACCATTGTGGAACGTATGATGGTAAGTATTTTATAATATAAACAATATTATAAATATAAATGTATTTATATATATGTTGGTGTTGTATATTTTTGTTTAATAATAATATCCTTTTATTTATCCTTAGAGGATCCTGAGAGTTTAATAAGTTCCTTAACAACTGGTGGTATATTGGTAACATCGTACTCAGGTATGCTTAAGCACAACGATTTACTTATAAATACTCAGTGGCATTATGTAATTCTTGATGAAGGGCATAAAATAAGAAATCCTCAAGCAAAGGTGAATAATATATAATTTTATGATATTTTTTTGGCCAAATAAATAAATAAATTATGAAATATAATTTTTATAGATAAGCAAAGCAGTAAAGGCATTTTCTACTCCACATCGTTTACTATTAACTGGTAGTCCAATGCAAAATTCATTAAAAGAATTATGGTCTCTATTTGATTTTATCTTACCCGGAAAGTTGGGCACATTACCTGTATTTTTGGAGCATTGTGCTGCACCTATAACTCGTGGTGGTTACGCCAATGCTACAACTATTCAACAAGCTACAGCATTACAAATAGCAACTATGCTTAAGGACGCTATAACACCTTATTTACTTAGAAGAACTAAAGCAGATGTAAAACGTCATCTTAACTTACCGGAAAAAAATGAACAAGTATGTTTATTTTAATACTTGTATTAAAAAATTATATTCTCAGTATTAGAATATTATTCTTATATATGTTTCAGATATTATTTTGTACTTTAACAGATGAACAGAGAAAATTATATAAAAAATATTTATTATCAGAGGATGTATCATTTGTTTTACACGAAAAAAGTTCACTTCAAGAAACTGGGAGATACAGAGCTCGCTTGTTGATAGCTTTGTCTGCACTTAGAAAAATATGCAATCATCCAGACTTGTACCTTTACACAAATCAAATGGTAAGATTATAAAAGTTAATGATTTTATTTATGACATACATAAAATTTATCAAATTATTACAATATTTATATTTACAAATATATGGAGGATTCAGATGCAGATATTGATTTGGTAGAAGAAGACTTAGAGAAATTTGGATACTGGAAACGTGCTGGAAAAATGGTTGTAGTACAGTCTTTACTTAAAATATGGAAAAAGCAAGGACATAGAGTATTGTTATTTACTCAAGGAAGACAGGTTTGTATGCTCTTTTATTATATTTATTATAAACAATCTAATTATAAGATATAAAAACTTCTATACAGAATAATAATAATTTATTTTTTTTTTACAGATGATGCATATTTTGGAATCTTTATTGCAACGAGAAAATTATTCTTATTTAAGAATGGATGGTACTACACCTATGTCTCAACGTCAAGAAACTATTTACACCTTTAATAATGTATATATAATAATTTATTCCCTTTCTTTCTCTCTATTTCTCATGTTTGAAGTCGATAGTAATATAAATAAAATTATTTTTTTCTTTTTATGTTTAAAGAATACCTCGTATTTTATATTTCTACTAACAACACGTGTAGGAGGATTAGGTGTGAATTTAACTGGAGCAGATCGTGTAGTTATTTACGATCCTGATTGGAATCCTGCAACTGATACACAAGCGAGAGAACGTGCTTGGAGAATTGGACAAGATAAAAATGTTACTATTTACAGACTCATAACTGCTGGTACTATAGAAGAAAAGGTAACACATATATATATATTTGCATTGTCTTTTTTTTTTTTTAATATTAAAAATACATTTTTTTTTACAGATATATCACAGACAAATATTTAAATTATTGCTTTCAAATAAAGTATTGGATGATCCAAGACAAAGAAAAATTTTTAAAACGACAGATTTAGTAGAACTATTTAATCTCAATGAACCTATAAATGGACAATCGTCTGAATCAGATCGTTTGTTTAAAGATTCTAAATTAACACCCACTTCATTAAAATTTTCTTCGAATAAGATTAAAAAAATGAAAAAACTGGCTTCGACTCTTAGCAAAAATATAAGTAAGCAGATGATAACAAATGATCTAACAAAGAAAATAGATGATAAAGAGGATAATATCAGCATTACCAATAAAATACAAACTAATAATTTACATAATAATGAAAATAATCTGAATACATCTGAAGAAGTTAATTCTGTTAATGTCAATTTGAATGAGACTAGCACTTTATCCAATCACAGTAATAACAATAATAATAATATTTTAAGTACTCAATACAGTAGCATAACAGTAGAAGAACTGGATGGTAAAAATACAAAAAAAGATGATCTTAAAACTGATTCGAGTTCTGATAAAGAAACATCTTTATCTGATATAATTGTAGATAATACGAAAGAAGATGATACTTCAGAAGTTAGTCAATTAACATTGGAAACAAAAACTGAATGTTTCACTGACAATATTAACGAAACAAAATTGCATGATAATCTTTGTAATAAAAATCACAAAAAAAAGAAATCACGTAGAGAAAAGCATAATATTTCTGCTTTATTTGAAGGCGAGCATGTATCGCATTTGATAGGAAGACGTTTAATTAAATCACATATAGAAGAATCTCCACAAGTTTCTGATGACGAATATGTATTAAAACAATTATTTGCCAATTCAAGTAAGATTTTAAAACCTTGTGTATATATTATATGTATATATATCAAATTAATATAAAATAATTTCGTTTCAGCTGTAAGTTCAGCTTTTGAACACGAAGCAGTTTTATCAAATACACATCAAAATGTAAAGGATGAAAATGTAATGCAACGACTGGCACGTGAAGCAGCACAAGAAAGTATGGATTTTGTTCGTAAATCTCGCAAATGGTGTTCGATACCAACATGGAATAAATCTTAATTTATAAGAACTGATATAGATTTATAAATATTTATAATAATATGATTTAAGACTGCTATCATGATAATAGAATAATTTTTTGTATTTTTTTTTTTAGATTTTTTTAATTTATTATTATACATAAATAAATAATATATATGTATATATACACACATGTTGTAAAAGAATATAATAGTAAGTATAGAATATGTATATACATGATTACATTTCTGTTACTTAAACTTTTATAAATCAAAGAATCGTTTGATAGAATTTGGAATTTACAATAAAAAAATACATAAATTTATCTTTGCTGATTCTTTTTTAAATAAAATTTTTTTTTCTTTTTCTTATTGGAATACTCATGTTATGCATGATTTTGTGAGTTATAGAAAAATTTAACTTGGACATTATTTTATTATAACGTACATATTTATTATCTATAATTAAAAAGAAATAATAGATCCCGTTTTGGTTTTGTATTTATAACACTATTAATTTATTACATTTGGTATAGAAAATCTTAAATTAGAAATAATAAAAAACAGATTAGAGTTCTGTGTTTCCTCAGAGAAAACCCAACTTTTGTTTGAAACATTTTTCCGTATAACAAATAATTTACATGTTATTTGAAATCCTCATGTTACGAAACTCACTCTGTATATGAATTATAACAAAAAAGGAAACAATATTTTATTCACTTAATTAAAAAAACTTATAAGAAAATAAGAATATAAAAAAAAAAAAAATTATAAATCATTCCAGTTTTGTATTGATAATTACATATCAAAATTTTTAATTGAAAGAAATGTTATGAATCATGTCTTAGAAATTGAGCCAATGTAGGACCACCCCTTCCTAACGGATCTTCAGGAAACATAATATAATCTCCTACAAAAGTTGGAGCTAATAATCTGTTTTCTATAGTATCACGCCATTCTGGTTTTTCCATATATAAATCTCTATATTGGTCTAAAGAAACAACTATGCCTTTACATATTGTTGCATATTCCAATATAAACCTAAATAAATATTATTAATATATACAATAAAAAGATTCATAAATTGTGAACATAAAAATGTGTATAAACATCTACACATACAACTTACCGATCATCATAAGGAGTAATAGTTTTACCACCTATACTTCGACTTGGTGTAAAAACAACTGTTCCTTCCTTCCAAAGTTTTTCAAGTAGTCGATGACAATGAGATCGTTTATTTTGAGGTATAAATACCTTAACAGAATGTCCTCTTTGTTTAAAATAGTCTATTACCAATTTCAATCCTTTTTCTGAAAATGTTTTGCCCTGTGTGTATCTAAGAAAATAATAATAATTTTCTATAGATACAATTATAAAATATTTTTAACATAAAATTTAATATTCCCTAGTAGCACAAAATATTGAATACATGTGTATTTAATATTAAAAAGAGATTCACCACAACTTTTTAATATTAAATACACATGTATTCAATATTTTTTAATATTTTGTGCTACTAGAGATTACTTACGCCATTGCGACATTACATCCATCAATAATTATTTCTCTTAATTTCTTAGCTTCAGTCGGCGTTACTTCAGTTACTTTATCAGATTGTACTTTGTTTTTATTAGATTGTTTACTATAAAATTTTCTACTAATCCTTTTCATATTTTTTTGTGGTGTTACAGTAATGGAAAATTTTGGTTTGATACAATAAGGTAATTGTAATCCAGGTTTATTAAATAGTAGTTCTTTTTCATTATTAAATTTCTTTTTAGGTTCTTTTTTTGAAGCTGATTTTAAACAGGTTAAATTATTAGAATCTCCATTAAGATCTAGCGTATAAAGTTGTCGATTTTCCTCATCTGAAACGTTATCTTTCTTGTCTATTTTATCCGATATAGGTTCTGCTGTTGATGAATTGTCTATAGATGACCATACCTCAACAACGTCATCAAAAGATTCATTTGATGCATTATTTGAAGGTTCTGAAATTGAAATTAGATTTGATTAAGTATATGTATTATTAAAGACATTATTATCATGATTTCGTTGATTTACATACTTTGATTAGCAGAATTTGTATGTAAAACTTTAGGTTTCAAATTTTTGGATTCTGAAACTATATAACATGACTCATCAAAATTAGATAATTTTGTATTACTTTTTCTATTTCTTAATTTAATATTTTCTATACTATTAGCAATAATATTAGAAATATTATGTTTATTTGCTTTACTTAAAATATTATTAAATGATTTACAAATTTGATCAATATTTGAATGATTAATTTCATTTTTGTTACTATTTTGAGTCGAACTTGTAACATTTTCGGTATGTTCATTTTCATCATCGCTTATAACTATTACACTGTCATTTGAAGATGTTGGTGTTTTCTTGTGACTGTAAAAAATATTACAAATATAAATATCTTCTTCAATTAACATTTGTATCATAATATAATAATTTATCATATACTTTGCTTTAACTAATTGTAATCCTTTATTACATGACGTGTTTTTTGTTTTTGATTTTTTAATTGTAACTCTACGATTTGATATTTTTGTAGGCGTTTGCGAGTTTTTCTTTTTACGTGCCATTTTACTTTGTGCTCCGACTTAATAAGTAATTTATTGGTTGCTGTAAATATAATATTTACTATTATTATCGTATATAAACAAATTGTGTGGTAATTTGTCTCTCTATATATTTATAAAATAAAATTATTTATAATAATAAAAAATATGGTATAATAATAGTAATAAACATTTTCTAAAATACTTATATATTTCAATATTTGATATTGAAATGAAATAAAGTTAGATAAAGAATATATATAAATTTTTTTTCATATCATTTTACTTACATTGATATTTCAATTACATGAGACTTAAAAATTAACCTCATTCATCGAAATTTATGTAAGTATTGTAAATGTATTTAAGCATTTCCTAATGTCTATAATTCTCAATAAAGTAATGAGTCTCTGTCTTTCACTCAGAAGTTCTAAAATAGCTTCAAATTACAATAACAATAATATTGTTTTTGTTTCAATTTGTTTTTCTATCACCATATAATGATAAAAATACTATATTTGTGTAAAAAAATTGTATCATCTATTTTTTGTATAAATTTGAATTTTATACACTACATATATATATTTATATATATAAGCATATAGTGGTAGGTGCCCTTTTAGTGTACAACTTTTGTTACACCACTGATTTATTACTATAGAAACACAATAACCAATCACATTTGATGATAAAAAAATACGTTATAAGATAATTATTATTTAGTTCTTAAAAAACAAATGATATATTGTATTTTTATTTCTTACAAGATTTTGTATGTCAATGCGATATATATATATATATATATATAGGTACAAAATAAAAAAAAACAATTCCGATCAGAATTTATTTCTTCCTACCATCAGAGTTAATAGAAACTTATCCAAACGAATTCACATGGTATAAATATTTAGTAATAAAAATAACTTTATTCGAATCTTATTATTTTAATAGATAATAATAGATAATTATATAATAATTATAATTAATAATAATTTAACAGTTAATATATAAACAATTAATACTATACCATCTTTTCTTGTTGTGTTTCGTGATTGGTCAGTATGAAAAAACTCCCTAGTCGTTTGACTAATAGAATACATAGAAATTACGTTTCATCGCTTCGTATTGAAAAAGAACTTGTATTTAGAGAAGGAGTAAACTGATCAGTGGGGGCGGTGAACCTAAACTCTGCTAAGCGCGATCGCATCTCTACAGTTAAGAGAAGGTAAATGGTAACATTAACAACAAGAATTAAATTTTTCATTTATTTATTTATTTTTATTTTTATATGTTTTATTTTTAAATAGATCTGATGAAAATGTTATTGTGGAATTGAATTAAATTAACAATCGAGAAGTAAAGAGAAAGAAAGGCCGAATGATCGGCACATAATCGGTAAATAAATAATATCGAAAAATTGGCGTTGTTTTTTCTAACTTGTTAAATAATCAGAAACGTATTCAGCCAACCTTTAAAATTAAATAAAAATGGAGTTGGAGGAAGAAGAAGCTCAAGTATGCAGACTATGTGGTCAACATGGAAAAATTTTTATCGATGTGTTTGGAGAAGAAGGTTTGAAAAGGTTACTCGCCACGAAAATACAATCCAAAATCAACATTTTGGTAAGTAATATTTAAGGTAAGAGTAACGATCTATATATACAGAGCTATGGGGTCCGGGCCCTTATTGCTTCTTCAGGATTAGAGGAAGGGGACTAGAAAAATGGCCGTAAAGTAGAAAAACGTGAGAGGTTTTTCAAAACGTGTGTGTGATGTATGTGGTGCGATGTGCGCGCGCGCACGCATGCGTGTATTGCACACAAAAAAATAAATTTAAGTTATTAAAATTTATTATGAACATATCTTCTCATATATATTATTTATTAATGTTATTTAAAATAATGTTTCAAAGCGAAATAATTTTGATTAGCTATAATTTTGGTGGATTTGAATTTATTCATTATGCATTCAAATTCTATGCTAATAAATAAATAAACAAATAAAATAATTCTACTCATTTGAATTAAATAACATTTATTTTTTTATTATGTATGACAGAGATTAGCTTTTATATTATTAATAAATTTTAATATTAAGTCAAACAAAATGGATAAAATTATAAAAGGTAATAAAAAAAGGATTTAATATTTCAAGGGCTTATAGTATTCACCTAGAACAGTGAAAAATATCTAATTTACATGGGTCCTAAAATCAATCCTTTTGCTATCAATTTATTTTTATTATTTATAAAAGTTCAATATTGTAAATAAGTATTTTGATAATATATTGAATTTACGCAAAGGAATTAGCTTAAAAATATTTTAGTTCAAGATTGTTAAGATAACTTTATTATATATATATATAAACAAATATTATTACTAATATGAACAAAGATTATTTTATAGACACCAAAATAGTATTAGGTCATTAAGTATGAAATGTATGATTTCAGACTAAAAGTAATCAGATGTTTTTTCCATTTGAATGCAATTCTGATGTTTACGGATCATGGATTAACGTATAGTTTCAAATATTTCTTGAACTAGTGTATTTCTAATCAATTAGACATTTCTTACTCATCTCTGTGAGTAGTATAAGCCTTTGAAATATTGAACCCCTCCCTTTATCACTCTGTACACGTATACTACATAAATATGTATAATATATAGATATAAGTATATTTTATCGTAATATGATTACGATAAGGTTTGATCGTTTAAACATATAATGGGTACTACATTAATTTTTTTTCTGTAATGTTGTATCTGTAGAGCGGTAGGGTTTAGGCTTATATTTATATATACAATTTTTTTACCTTTCCACAATTTTTAAAAATTCCAGAGTGTTTACATTTTATTTTTTTAATTGTGAAACTCTTAACTTTGTCAAAACATGATCCTTCTCAAGAGTGCACATTACGTTTTTAGTACTTAGGTATTTTGTTTAAATCACAGATAGATGAAAAGGATCCTCTGCCCAAGGCGATCTGTCTTCAATGTCTGGGCAAACTCGAATTCGTTTGTGACTTTCAAGAGGAATGTCTACGCACCCAACAAGTGTTACGCGATCGGTACAATCTACCACCCTTAACAGAGATTGTAAGTGAGCATTTTATTTTACGTACTGCTCTACCGCTCTCGTAGGATGCAACTAAAATATATAATCTTGTTTATTTACCTCACATTTGAACGAAATATTACAAGTTTAATAATGTACAGGTTTTATAAATAAGATTAACTTTCTTGCTTTCTTTTAAATTAACTTTTGATATGTATATATATTGTATGCAAATTAAGTAGAAAAAATATAATAATATTACAAATATATATTTATATATTTTATTTATATATTCTTATATCAAGGAAGGCATGAAAGAGTAAATTGATATTAAAATAAAAATTACATTAGATCGAATTTTTGATACCCATCTATGTTTAATTCGATCTATTCCTAGGATGAAGTAAAGAACGAAGATGCTGCTCCAAGTACATCGACAAATAATAATAATAATATTGACAAAAATCTTAATTCTTCGCCTAACAAGACTTCGCCTATAAAAGAAGAAGATCAACGTGTTATTAAAAATAATACAAAGCCACAAAGAAATCTAAGAAGTCATCAACATGCATTCAAGGATAGCAATGATACCTCTAAATATCAAAATACTGAAGATAACAATCAAGAGAAAGCGGAAGAATCACAGCCCATTTCACAACCTGAAGTTTCTCGTACACGTTGGCTTAGAAGTAGACAAAGTGCAGATACAACGACTACTCAAAATAGTGCAGATAGTGAATCTGATACTCCAATTGCAAATCGTTTAAGAAGTCATAATAACACTATCTCTCCAGATAATAATGTTAATTGTCGCAATAATACAAGTGAGAACGTTGAAAAGCGGAGTGGAAAACAACAACAAGATTCTCATACTATTCAAATTCCAACAACAGCACTGAACAAACTGCTTACTATTGTCTCTAATTCATCAAACATAGAAGTTTCTGTAAAAGAATCAAGAAATCGTCAAAATGATGCAGAAGACATTAGTTTTACTGTAGAATTGTGTAAAAAAAAGTGTGATAGTGTAGCTACAGTACGAGCAACAGTGTTTCCAGATCAAGGCTCGTGTTTAGTAGATACTTCTATCATAGAGTTACTTGAAAATCATAACAGTGCTGAAGCAAATAGTATAATTAGTTCTATTATTAGTGGTAATTCGAAAAGTAATACAATCAAGTTAGAGGACTTAACAGAATTTGAACAGAGACTGGAAAATTCACAAAATCCTGAAGAATTATTTAGGATTGATGGGGAAGAAATACGCGTAGACGATAATGTAGAACACATTGTGGCTGACAATCAAAATGGATATATTTGTAAGCTTTGTAAAAAGTTTTATGAACGGAAAGATAAATGCACAGTTCATGTTAAAACTCATCTGGGAATTAAGCAATATACTTGTATTCTTTGTAATGCGAAATTTGTTTGTAAATCTGATGTAATGAAGCATATTAGATGTTCGCATACTAATCCTAGGCCAATACAATGTCCAAAGTGTCCAAAAAGATTTAAATCCAAATTTTATTTAACTGAACATGATAATGTTCATAAAGGAATACGACCTTACAGTTGTACAGAATGTGAACAAAGTTATCACCATAAAGTGTCCTTACAGATTCATAGAAAGTCACATTTACCGCCACAAAATTTAGCTTGCGAATATTGTGGTAAGGTGTTTCCTTATCGTACGCGTTTACTTAGTCATATTGCCAGTGTTCATTTAAAAAATCGTCGGAATTTTCGATGTAGATTTTGTTATAATCTTTATTCAAGTTTATCGGTATTAAATGAACATATAAAAACGAGACATGCAACAACATATACTTGTGAAATTTGTAGTAAAACGTTTAAGGTGGCATCTAAATATAAAGCTCATGTACTGCAACACTCCAATCCTAAACCTTTTATATGTAATATTTGCAATAATAGATACGCATCAAAAGCATTCCTAAACGAGCACTTATTAAAACATGAAGGTTTGAGAAAACATGTTTGCCAAAAATGCGGAGCCACATTCGCACAAGCTAGTCATCTTGCAGCTCATCGCCATGTACATGGTGAAAAGACTCACGCTTGTCCAGAATGTGGAAGAAAGTTTAATAGACGTGACAATATGAAAGTACATAGAAAAAGACATTTTGAATCAAAAAAGACTGATAGTAAACAAAATATTTCCACTACTAACGAAACGTTAAGTGCATCGAATGAGAAGTAATAATAATCATTTGATTACTTAAATTCATCTACAAATACATAATGAATTTTCCAAACAGAATGTTAATTAGAAGACTTGAATAATGAAATGTGAGATTGATACATACATATGTATTTGTATATATAAAATACCTATATATTAATATGAAGCTCATTTAGGTCATAGTCAAAAATAAAAGTAAGATTTTATAATATTAGAGTAATGTATACATCATAGAGAGAGAGAGAGAGAGAGAGAGAGAGAGAGAGAGAGAGAGAGAGAGAGAAAGAGAGAATATTAGAAGTACTTTAGGGATACTGTATACATCGTTGAAGGTATTAGAAATTTACTTTTTTTTTTTTTACTATTACTTTTGCCTAAATATTATGATCATCAATTTTGTATGCTTTGTTTAATAATGATACAAATGTGTCACATTAATTTTATTTCATATTTTAGCTTTTATTTTTTACTTTTACGTATTACTATTTGTATATTATGTTATAGAAATGCATTTGACATATATAGTATTATTATTCTCATTTTTATTTGATTATATATAAATTTATACAATAATACTTGTGTGCATAGAAAAAAACAATAGGAATGAATTTATTGAAGTTGCTATGAAAATGATTTTAGATATTTAAGTTCTAAATTAAATAACAGAAAAAAATTGACACAGTGGCAAATTTGGCAAATTTAGTATGATTTATAGAATAAAAATAATCCGTAAATATTACAATTTTATAAAATTCATCGCGTTAATGTAATGAAGAAGAGATTTTTTTGTTTCTATAATTTTTTTTCTAATATGCAATAAATTTAATGTAATTTTCAACGAGCTTTACAGTATTAATTGAAAAAAAGGAAAAAGATAAGTGTAGTATATGGTCTAATTTTCTTTTTATAATATTTTTCTATATTTCCAAACTATCTATTTAGACATTTGGTAAATCATAAATAAATCAATTATGCATTAATTTTATATCATGTAGATTGCATTTTATAGATGAATAGCATAATGACTGATTTAATCTGGACTTCAAAAAATATATAAAAGATTAATTAAAAATATAATATTAATAAATTTTTAATATTATTTTTAATAATATTAAATATTTAAATAAATATAACAATATTTTTATATAAATTTAAAATAATATTTTTAATATTATTAAGAAAAATATTAAAAATTTATAATATTAATAAAAATTAATATTAATAAAAATTAATATTAGTAAAAATTAATATTAATAAAAATTAATATTAGTAAAAATTAATATTAATAAAAATAGTAATAATAATAAATTTCTTTACTTTTAATTTATTTTAATTCTTATATTATAATTATTAAGAAAATAATTTTTATTATCACTAAAATTTGTTTTTTAAGTATTTGTTTGTAATAAAAGTATGATACAGTAGTCCCCCTATATTTAACGTGGATAATTGGTTCCTCAAAAACAGTGCTTAAATGAAACTTTGAAAAGTTTTTAAAAATAAGGATTTATTATACATTTTCAAATATGTATTTAACTATTATTGGGATAAAAAAAGTAACTTCAAGCGATTATGAAATTTACTATACCGAAAAATCCTCGAATTTAGATTTTCATATAATGTATCGTGGTGACAGGGATTACTGTATATATTAACGATAGTTTTTCAATGAAAAATGAAAAAATTAATTTATTTAATAGCAAACACAATTACTATTATAATGGCAAACAAAAAATACAATAGATATTTGTTCTTAAAAATTATATCGATTGCGCACTAAATTTTTTTTTTGCAACACTACGCTATGTGTTCAGAATCTTAAGAATGTATAGTATATAGAGGGCTTCCAAAAAAAAAAACAAAATACTCTAAATATTAAAGTAAAGCAGACCAAAGTGGAAAAGAGGGTGCAAGAATTTTCTATATATTTTTACACAGATTATTAGAGTATTTTAAAAAACTTCCAATTTTTGAAGTTTCCATACAAAAAAAAAAAAGATATAATCCGTGTATATTATATTTTTGGATATATATTTTATTACAGACGAATTATTATACCAAAATATTATGATGAGCTGCTCTAGAATTATACATGTAAAAATGAAATAATGTATAAATTTCTTATATGTGAAAAGAACAATATGAAATTGAAGTGCCTTAATCGAGAATTTCTTATTAAAATGTATCGTCGTAGATTTAAAAACATAATCATAATACAAATGTAAGAAAGTGATAGTTAATGAGATATTACTCTCTAATTTAAAATTATATTTTGATTAATATTTTTACTAATATGTTATTATAAGAAAAAAAAACAAAAAATAATAGATTTTTCTTAAAGACAAATGAAGAAGTATCTATATATGTATCTTTGTATAAAATGGTATCATTTTTCGCTTGTAAGAAAGATATATATATATATATATATATAGAGTAATTCTCCGAAACTATTTCAGTGATATATACAAAATAATTTGTATTTTAAAAAATGTTTATATAACTTAAACTATTTTTTGAGGAGAAAATATGTTTGTATTTTAGTCCAATGTAAAAATGTTATTGATATAAATATAAATATTTTTAACGATGCTAAGTAGAAAATAGTGACTTTTCTATATTTTTCTTAATTTTTTCTTTTTTTCTTTTTGGACAATAAAAATGTTTCTCAATTCTATGGCTGTTTTTAATAAAGATGTAATATTTTGGGGTTTATAAGATATTTGTTCATTTTTTTTTTACATATGCCTCTTGTAATTATTTGCAAATGAAAATAACATTTTATATGAAATAATAAATTTTTGAATTTAGCAAATGAATTACATTGTATGAAATTTTTTTTTTTTCTTTGAATACTTCCTGTTAAAGTTAACCATATGAACAATGCGCATTCAATAATTGTGAACAAAATATTTTTTCGCTAATATAAACTTTGATGATTAAATATTATAGGCGCAGTTAACGATAAATTATAATTGTAATTTTTTTTATACTAAATTAAAAAATTGATAGATGTTATTATTGAGCATTAATTATTTATTAGAAAGGGGATAAAATTTGCAACATATCTTAATTTGGATAAAAGATATAATAACTTAAAATTAAGTAAAGTTTCTTTCAAATGTGTTTCAGATTCAACCGTTCAGATGATGGATTACCGCATAAAGTATGCCTAAAATGCATAGCACAGATGGAATATTTTTGTGATTTTTATAAAAGTTGTCATGATGTTCAACAAGACTTGTTATCTAAAGTTAGACATTTAATTGACTTATTATTTCGACTAGTATTTAAAAAAAAAAAAATCGATTATAAATATTTATTTTATTTTTTAGCAAATTAAAATTGTAAACGATAAAATCAATATAACTTGCATGAAAAATGACGGCGAATTCGACAAAGAAAATACTGTTCCTTCTTCTAAAAGATATAGATCAAGTAACAGTTTAATTACGGCTAAACAATTCAAATATAAATGAAACGAATAAATCTTCCTCTAAAAGAAAGTGCAAAAACGTTATAGAATTAAACAAAATTTCTTTTTCGGAAGAACAATTATTTACCAAAACTCCTCAAAAATCTTTTATAAATACCAAGATAAACGAAAGTTCATTAAGTAATCAATCTGAAATAATAACTAAAACGATTAAAGAAACTAATAAACAAAATATATCAAGAAAATTATTATTAAGAAAAACAAGAAGTTTTGCTTATCAGGCAGCCCATTCTTCTCCGATTACAAAAAAAGAACGAAGAATTTGTGACGATAGATTCTTAGTTAAATACACTGATCTTGAAAGATCTAGAAACGTAAATGAATGAAGAATAATACAATCTAATGATTTCAATGAAATTAAAGCAGTTAATATTCCATCTATGTCTAATACTAAAGACTCATCCAAAGAATTATGTATGAACGATGATCAATCTATCCATTTAGATAAAACAAACAAAATATTCAATAGGGTCCATGATAGTAATGAAAATAATTCGAGTAATAAAAGTATGTGTGAAGAAAAAACCAACAAAATAAAATGCTCATTAATTACAAGTAATTCTGATTATGTTGCATCATATAAAATGCAAGTTTTTCAGAATTAAACCAACTTGTTCCGATTTCCACTGATATAACACAGAAAGCACGTATAATGAAAACTGAAATGAATCAGAATATGTTAAATACAAATTCTTCACTTGGAGACGAAGCAGAATCAAATCAAGAAGTTATTGCTTCTCACTTTGTAAACAATACATCTTTTAAGGCACAATATCAAACAGAAATATTTAATGAAGTTCAATTACCGACAAAAGTAATAAAATATAATTACAAAACGGATATTATTCAAGAAACATCTAAACAACTAGAACCTCAAAAGAATTCCACTGAACGATATAAGAGAAACATAAAATTAAGTAAAATATCCGATTTGATAAGTGATGAGCAAAAAAAAGAAATTGAGACCTATTATGAAAAATATATGACAGTTGTTGATTCTGAAATTGTCGGAGAAAAACTAATAATTAATGGTAAAAATAATATTAAATGCAATATTTGTTCAATCATTTTTCATAGATTGGACAAATGTACTTCATATCATAATTATAATTACACAAATATAACATATATTTATATAATTTTTTATTATTATAGTAAATACACACACACACACACACATATACAAAACAAAATGATTAATGATGATAATGATGATAATGATGATGATGATGATAATGATGACGATATAATAAATATATATTTTATCTATTATATCAACTACTTTCTTTTTTTTCCATCTCTATCTTCATCTCGCTAATTGTTATGTTTAAAAATATACCAATAGTTTTTTACAGTTCTATCATGTTTTTTTATTAATATATTATAATTTGATGGAGAAAGCGTGTAACACAATCGTTAGAGGTGAAAGCTTTATCGTTGGCCTAAATCCCTTCCCAAACTTTGTTTCCCAAGTCCAATGACAATCCATAACTCACTAGTTTATCATTTAAACTTGTAAGGAGCGGACACACGTGTTGTTTCTATTATTTCTTCATTTATTTTCAGTCTTAGCAAGCAATATATATCTGAATTAGAGTATATAATTCTTTAAATAATATAATTATATAAAGTAAGTATTACTATACAAAATTAGACTAATAATATTTGTGTAATTTGTTCAAACATTTATTTTTGAAAATGTTGAATATCGATAAATTACATTATTCAATTAATTTCAACTTTTCTTCTGTAAATTATTTGAAATATAATGATCTATCTTAATCTTAGAGTGATGAATTCAGTGAAAGAAATTGTTAATTGTGCCCATAATTATGAAAGTGGTCTAAGTCATATATCTCTTGTTTCGAGATATTTAAAGATTTGTACTTGAACACTATATAAATTCTACACAATATTGAAATAACAAACATTATTTAACGATTCATTTTTGATAATATTGTGAAAATTACATTGAATTTATTTAGTTTATAATAATGTAGTGCGTAATAACTGATAAACTCATTTTTTATTAATTTTGAATTAGACCACTTTCATAATTATGGGCACAATTATCTAATAAAATCCTGTTGCACGTTAATGATTTTAAATGCACTAGAACAATTATAGTTAAAACTAATAAATATGTAGATTTACCTAATTTTTAGTTACAGAATTCAATGGAAAAATCATTTTTTTTTCTATAAGATCACATTATTTATAAACAGTATAGTTTTAAAAAAAACACTATTGACAAACACTTATGTAATCAGTGTTTTGCTGTAAAGCAAACAATCCTTTTTAGCATATCTTTTTAAATTAGACTTATGGGGATATCAAAGAGCGAAGAATATTTGAAAAATATTATTTTTTATGGAAATGGTGCACGATAATGTAAAATTACAGGCAAAATTGTAGGAAAATATGCACGATTTAATAACTTAAATGAGATTTTGAAATTTAATAAGCATTTTTATTTGCATTTTAAAATTAGACATGAAATTATTCATTTCTTTAACAATTATTTAAGGTATGCCATATCCCCACTTATCTTTCTATACATGAACCCATCTCGCAGTAACTATTGATTGACGTATCTTATACTTACAAACAATGCTAACATTAGAACTTTTCATAATTTCATTCAATTGTCGATCGACTGTAGATTCTATAATATTCTTTATGTTCTATTTCCCTACCTCTATACTCTATATCCCTACTCTATATACTCTATATCCCTACTCTATATACTCTATGTCCCTATCTCTATACTCTACTATATCTTTATCTTCATATCCTATCTCTCTCTCTTTTTTTTCATATTTTATAAAATTACATCATATATCTAAGAAGTTCCACTTTAAAATGCTTACTTAATTATAAACAGTCTTACGCAATTGGCATAGCATTTATATATCTCCTGTATACGTTTTAAATGAATTATTCATAAACTTTGATTGTTATCTGATCAGAAATTTTAAGAAATATAGTTTTTGAATATAAGTGTTTAAAGTTTCATATAATAGCTCAGAACGAATTGTATGGGACTAGGAAGAGAGGAATTCTGTGACATTCTGTGAATTCTTTCGGTGAATTTCAATATTTTAAGAAACGTTTCAAACCAGAAACAATATTAGATTTTTATTAAATTTTAGTTACATTACTGCTTAATAAAATATCTAAAAATCTGATGTGCTAGCAAAATTGAAATAGCAGATTCTAATTGTACACATGAAACTACGTAATAATTGATATGCGATACGTCAGCTGCAAAATGATTGTTAACTATTTTTGTTTGTTATATGTTACAGTAAACGAATTATTAATATATTTGGTTTTGAATTATTGAAAAAGATATTATACAGTAATTTTGACACAATGAATAAATTAACGCCACCCAAATATGAGTTTTTAAATCCAGAAAAAACAAAAGAAATGTTAGAATTATTCAAAGGCGAGAGAACCGGTTGGGTGTTGGTTGGCCCGAAGAAATATTTTTTTCCATACAAATATACAAAATACGGGGAAGGATTTTATAATTTTAAAGCAAGATCTACTGATACTTGGGTAATTACATATCCACGATCAGGTAAATAACTATTTATTTTTTCTATATGTATGTGTGTTTTTAAATAAATTTACGATTTATTCAAAATTCAAATGTTTTCTTGATATTCAAATGATAAATGAAATTCAAAATGGCTCTAAATGGAAAATTATCAAACTGGTAGTTGGTTTGTTTACATTCGTTTTAACGCATTTTGAATCTGACAAGAAATATTACATAAATCGTTTACATTCCTCTCCTATCACTTATACCGACTTTTATCTATTTAACGAGATAAATATACAACTGATCATAAAAATATTCAGACACTTAGATAGATTTAATATTTACGTTCTGTGTATTTTTCCATACTCTTATTCTTCCACCAATTCCACAAATATCAAATTTGCTTTAATCGGAAAAATAATATCATTCCACCAACAACCATTTTCTTTAGAAATGAAAGTTTTAATAAATCGAGGTTTCTTTTTCCTGTTTATTAAATTAATATATGGTTTTCTCCTGGTTATCCGTCCATTGTAATTTTCTGCACGCAACACTTTTTGCATGTTTTCCGAATGTACAGTGATACCACATTTGTCCTTGTAGCATTGTTGCTATTCGTGAAACACTTTATATACGCGATTATTTTTAAATTTTTCTAATAATGTTACGATAATCGATAATATTTCAAATTCACGAACGTTCACTTTGACGAATAAAAGTAATTATGTTCTTCATTTTTTATTTTTTTATATTTTTTTATATTATATTATAAAAATACTATATTATATATAATATTAAAATAACTATAATTCAGTAATAAAATCATGTCTAGCAAATGATTATATAAATTTTTATCTTATTTTAGTTTACTAAAAACATTTTTGAAGTTACGTCCGCATATTTTGAAATACCCTGTATATTTCATATATATATGTGGAAATATACTTTTATTATTCTATACAGATCGAATTAAATGAAATATAATATAACCACTTAATATAATAATAATAATAAAATAATAATAAAATAATAAAGGATCTTTGGTTTTTCTTTTTATCATTATTTCGTCTTAGAACGCCTAATTTTTTTGTCTCTCTTCTTCTCATTGCTGATAATTTTCATATCTCAACTCTAGGAACTACGTTAACTCAAGAGCTGGTTTGGTTGTTAAGCAACAATTTGGATTATGATACAGCTAAAACTAAATATCTTTCTGAAAGATTTCCATTTTTAGAGTAAGAATAAATATCTATTTTTATTAAATAGAACAAGATTTTTTGAAATTTATCTTTCTTATTATATATGCATCAATTAATATTAAAATTTTATATTATAGATTCAGTATGTTTCAACATCCTGAGGTTACAAATGAATTTATAGAATTTAATAAAGGTGATTTAGCTAAAGAGGAATTCTGTAGATTATTAGCAGAACCTGGATATGAATTTTATGAAAAAATATCTTCACCTAGATTTATTAAGACACACTTTCCATTTAGCTTATTACCTACTGTTTTGGAATCTGGTGCCAAAGTAAGTATTTTTATTTAAAAAAAAAAAAAAAAATTTTTTTCTCTATTCTATTCAAATATCTTCAAATATATCTATTATATATGGTATATAATTTAAATTTTATTTTTATTTTTAGATAGTTTATGTGGCAAGAAATCCTAAAGATGTAGGTGTGTCGTGGTATAATTTGAATAAGGACATAAAAACACAGGGGTATCTAGGAACATTCGAACAATTTTGGAATTATTTTCAAAATAATCTGAGTTGGTATCGCTTATATAAAAATATTATTTTTATGATTAATTAATTGATATCATATAACTAATAGAAATGTTCATCAATTTATAGCTCCATGGAGTCCATATTGGGAACATTTAAAAGAAGCTTGGGCATTGAAAGATCATCCTAATGTTTTGTTTATGTTTTATGAAGATATGTTTGAAGTATGAATATGATTTTATAAAAATATTTACTTTTTTTTATTTTATTATACAATAATAATATAATACTTAATATATATTTACTATTTTTGTTTAGAATTTACCTAAAGCTATTAAGAAAATTGCAAAATTCTTGGGTAAAGAATATAGCGATGATGAAATAAATGGACTTGCAACATATTTGGATATCAAAAATTTCCGTAAAAACCCAATGGTTAATTTATCAGAATTAAAAGAATGTAAAATATTAGAGAAAGAATCTTTTGTCAGACGAGGAATAAGTGGTGGTTGGAAGGATGTTTTTACACCAGAATTAGAAAGTCAAGCTAATCAATGGATTACAGAAAATTTAAAGGATACTGATTTAAGATTTCCAAGTGTTACTAAGAACTTGGATTAAAATCCAAGTTAAACAAAAATTAATTTAATAATTTTTAAGATTTTTAATCATATTTCTATTAAAATATATACGTATGTAAAACTTTTAATAATTAACAAGTACTTTTTATTGAATATTTAATATTTTACGGTACAACTAAATATCATAAGAATTTTTGAAAATTTATATTAATTTAAAAAATCTAATCTTGCTATATTTATTTAGCACCACTTTTATATTATATATAAGAAAAAAAAGAATGTGAAAATGTAACAATACATATTTAATTATACAGAGAAACTTGTTTCATTTAAAAATACTGATAATATATATTTGAATTATTTTCTTAAAACTCTCAATACAATTTATGGAATGTAAATTATAATATAAATACAAACGAAACAAAATTCCAAAACATTAAAAACAAATCTCTTTTTTTTTTTTTAAATATAGACATTAAATGACATATTATATATATCTATATATATATATATATATACGTACAACGCATATCTAGAATAAAATAAATTATAAAGTTTATAATTATACTTGCAAGAAATTGGATGATCATAGTAAAAATGCAATTATTAACAATCCATGTTCGGGCATTTTTCTGCTTTAGCAACAGCTGGCGGTATTGTATCAGTTGTTTTAGATGCTATGCATGGTCCAAGTAATTCTGGGCAAGAAACTTCATTGGATACGATACTATCTATCTTTTTCATTAAATCGTAGTTGATACGTTGTGTTATGACAGAATCATGTCTGTATCATAGATATAGATTTTACATTAATATATTATATAATTCTTATACGAAGTGTTAATAGTATTATTTCTATAGTAAAAATAATAAAAAAATAAAAATAACTAACTTGTATTCTGGATGTGATGTTACTTCTTTTCGAAGCCATGCAGCTGTTGTTAGAAGTTCGCCAGATGCACGTCTTTGAATTAATTTCATATATCTTTGTACTGTACAATGTGTATCGGCATCTACATCCATATTAGCAAGATAAGAATTTACTAATGGTATTAATCCAGGAAAAACACCACTCTGTAAATACATACATATTTTATATAAAATCTAAGTGTGTTGAGCTTAATGATTTTATTTCATTAAATACCTTGCCATTAATAATTTCATTAACGGTAAATTCACCGTACTCCTCTTCTATATTTTCTTTCGTTGCGATATTTGATGTTATATCTTTACGAAACCAAAACTTTTCATTTCTAATGGCATTCCTTTTTTGTGCCTTAGCCATGTTTTGATCAACTTTACTAATTGGTATAAGTAAATTTAATTTGTAACTGAGTATAACTCTCGTTAGCAATACAATAAAACAAACAATAGCTGCATTTTCAAAATCTGTTATTTGTACTTCGCATGGTCGAAATTCAACACGCCATCCTATTGAAGAATCTGGAGGTGGTGGTTTGAATCGCATTGTTTGCCAATTGGTTGATTGAATATTCTACAAAGTTATTTATTTAATATTAAAAACTAAAGAAACATTAAGATTTTTGAGTAATTGATTAATGTTGTTTACTTACTTCAAAATGATCAGTATCTTCTAAATCATTTTGATGTATTTTTTCCGAAAATAAAGATACAGTATCCCTGATAAACAGATGAGCTATATGTTGAGCAAGTAACCTATCAATACCATTATCCAGTAATTGATTATATATCTCAGTGTCATATATCAGTGGAACATCATTATATTTATCTCCTTGTTCGCTAAGGTACGAATCGATAGAATCATATCTAGATTTGTGAATTCTGAATCGATTTTCTTTCAAAGGTTTCAAACCACGTTCTTCTTGTGTTCTGCAGTCAACTGAGCAAGAAATGACATTCCATCGACAATCAACATCTGTTATATATCCACGATAAAATGGGCTAGCAGCAGTTAAAGCCAACTGTTGAATGTTAAACAAATGTCAATAAAGCATGTATGAATAAGTATTCCAATTCAAAATTCTTTTATTTGAAAATACACTAACTAATGACATTGGATTACTAACCATGATTGGACACAATGGCGTTAGTTGATCATATAACGTTCGTCCTTCATCTATATTACAAGCTTGAAAAGTAAGCTGTAAACAACAACATCCCATTCCAAAGCCCATAGCATCCATATAAACATGATCTACCTTTGCTGCTTTATTACTAGATCCATCGTTGTCTTGACTTATGAAATCTTCTTTAAACGGAGAAGGAACATTTGTATCTTTGAAAACTATAAAGAAATACTTTAAATAAATACTACATTTCTCCATGATAATGTAAATCAAAAATTCATATATCTATCAATATAATATTTATCAAAATACACACTAGGAATGTTTATAGAAACTTTTTCTCCTCGACGTTGTCTAATATTTTTTGTCAATGTTTTGAAACGTGGATGACCAGGGAATATTGCTTCATCTGGAAAGAACAAACTTCTGGAGGCACCAGCATTTGGTGTTGGCACAGTTGGAGGATCTGTAAAATCTGATGCTCCTAGCCTAAAGTATATATACATTGCATAGATATAAAAATACATAAATTGAATATATAAAATAAATAAGATGTATATATATATATGAGCTATTCTTTTATGAATTAGAATAAGTGCACTTTTTATGCAATAAATTGTGATTTAACTCGAATACCTTGGAAAACTGGTCAATGACATTAATACTTCTCCAGGTTTTAACAATTTTGTTGCTTCCTGTCTACGATAACGCATATTTGCTTCGACAACATTAAAATGTGCTAATAAACCCCCATATGGTTTTCCTGGTGTTCCTTCGATCATATATGCACCATATTCTGGTCGCCATAACGATTTAACATTTCTATTTGATAAAACAATAAAACATTTAATCGAAATTTTGTATTAATTTATACTCTTAAAAAAAGATAATACTTACAATGGATCTTTCTCTTCTTTTTCATTTAAAATTTGTAATATTTCTTCTGCTCTTAAACTAAGTTTTGCTGTTTTTGCTGTGTCATCAATTTTTACTAATATATATTCTACCTGTATAAAATATAATTATAACTTTGATTATAAACAATAAATAAATATTGATTAAATTTTTAGTATATGAATAATTTGATGTGTGATTCTTCTTATAGAATATAAACATTAAGTTTATAATAATATTATGAAATGTGATTACACAATATGATTAAAGTCAAAAGTGTGATTAATGACAAGTATTCCTTCTCATCAAAGTTATTTCATAAAATTTATTTTTATTACAGATAATGATTGTACAACATTATAGTGCCATCACTTTGTGCAATCTTTATCATGTTATCTCTATTAACTTGGATAAAATAATTAAATGATAGTTAATGTAACTCAAATAATAGAGTTAAACAATATGATACAATTTAATAGATCTCATTTGATTTAAATGTCAGATCGTATTGTTCAATATTACACAAAAAAAAAAAAAAAATACAAAATTACAAACATTGCTGTCTTTATTAAAGATTCTTATCGAATAATCATATCACAACGATGAAAATAATTAATGTCACATCATTGCGATTTTTTTGCAAGATAACTTTACAAATAATTACTCATGAAGAAGAGATAGAAGGAAAATAATAATGAGTTAACGCATGAAGAATGACAAAGCAAAAATGTTAATCATAAAAAGTATTCGAAGTATGTTTAAGTTAGATAGAAACAGAAATAATAGTAAAAAAAAAAAAAAAGAGATTCTAAGAATTGATTTTGCGTACCTCATCTCCCCACTTGAGCACATCACCTTGTCTGTCTCTAAGTTTTTTGTATAAATTAATGAATTGTATTATCCCATGTTTCCTAACATGATCGGACCATTTTTTCGTTTCTTCCCAATTAAGTGGACTTCCTTTAGCTAAAAGTCCCATTATCTTCTTTTAGAGTAGTCTGTTTCTGTCTTTCACTTAGTAAGCTTTTTCAAAAGTTGCCACACTAAGAAACGTTAATCCTCGTGGAAAACGTACTTTCCGATTTATACCGAGGCCAACCGAACTTAAAACACACCAACGTAAGTGAGTAAGTAGTATTTACTACTTACGTATTCGTATCGTTCTCCACAGTGATTACGATTTACAGTTTCTTTTAAATCGTCTTTTATACATGTACCGCCATCTCTATTCTAAGAATTATCTGTATAAAATATTTTGGACCAATTAAAATCTTAGATTTGATTATTATATACCCCTTCTATTTGTTTAGAAATGAGATTCTTAGAAATAAAACTTAATGGTAGAAAGATATTCAATGATGATAACTCCTAATTTTGTTTTATGTTGATTCGATTATTTATAACTAATTACACTTAACTTTATACTTATATACTTCTAACGTATTATTAATGTTAGTTAAAGTGTTTAATTATTAATAAAAATATATATTATCTTTCAGTTCGTTGAAGTAAATTATTTCTCGTTGACACACGCAACATTACCTAGAACAATGATATTAATAATACAGTAAACCGGAAACAATCGTTAGATGGCGTGAATGACGCATATTAATCGAAGCATTACTCCGAAGATAAGTTCGCAATTTTTCTTACCGACAGTGCAGTGAATGATCGATACTTTACCGACTTTAAAATATAGATGTCGTGAATTGTATTTTTAGAAACTATGTCATATTATAAATTCATACATAATTAATATGCATATAATAATAATAATAATAATAATAATATACGTATATACATAAAGAGAGAGATTAACTTAAAAATTAAAATAAATGAAAATAATTTAAAAATGTAGATGTTTTTTTATTTTAATAGAACGAAAAGCTTCATTGAGTGAATACATTTTAATGAATGTAATGAAAGAAGATAATAAAAAAAAAAAACGAGAGCAATTAATATTAGTTATACATACGAAAAATTATAAATTATTAAAAAAGATATTTAAATGTATACCTGAAAGTATCCATTTACGAAATAAAGATCATTTATTCGATGATGTGAAAGTGAAATGTTTACTTACATGCATAAAATAAACACGAGAGAAAAAAAGTCAACTTGACTAATTATTTTATAGATTTTACATTAGATAAAATTGAAGAAAAAAATATCTTAATAAAATGATATAAATATTTTGGATATCTATTTGAAGACTAAACGTACGATCAGTTAAATGACCGATTTAAAATTATGAGTTATAATTTTGCATTTAATGTTACTGGTTTACCTTCATTTAATTTTATAACAATTCTAATAATTAGGGTTATTTTATTATAATCATATAAAAATGATGTTATTTATTGTTTAAATTAGTATCAAATTATTACAGAATATTATTTAGATTAATTGATACAAAAATATACCTTGTGTTCAAAATCGACTATTTTACCAGTTACACTTATATATAGTTCTATTTTTTATATTTTATATTATTTCTTATATTCTACACACACAAATATATATACAATTATGACAATGTACTTATTATAAGTAAAAATAATGTTTCAAATCGATTTTATAATATTTTTACTATATTATATTTATACTATATACTATATAGTTATTATACCATATTTATATTATTTATATTATATATTATTATACTATAAAATTAGTATATATTATATTAATATTTTATTATTATTATAACATATTATTATACTATATTACTACTAAATTATTTATACTATAAAATATATTTTGTTGTTTAATTTAGTGTCCGGCAGAAATATATAAAAGATGGCATTAATATTCGGGACAAATGAAATTGGAGAGTCCGTTCTCTCCCTCTCACGTGGAGAGCATCCAAGACGCTGTCCGATGAATACTCTCTATTTCGCAATCGTGACTACAACTGCGATGAGAGTTAGTTGCTTGCGCTAGCATCGTCTCCAGAAAACGATCTAACGAAAGAACGAAAGAAAGAAAGAAAGAAAGAACGAAATATCCCTTCCGTTCTCTTCCTCTTTAAAACACACAGAGTAATATGTTTGTATGAGTGACGTGCCTTGGTACACTATCACCGGGCAAGGTTAACGTTTCGCTGCTGCTCGGCCGCAGCAACTTACAGCCATAAGAAAACGCAACGTGACTGGTGATCCACTTTTGCCACTGACATGAGAATGCTATGAACGTCGTAATACCGTCTATCCATCTATCTATCTATTTATCTATTTATCTATCAAGTTGAGAATTAAAGAACAAAAAAAAACAACAATAATTATAACTAATTATTATTATGAGGAAGTCTGTGTGATTTATTTTGGTTTTTATTTACTCTTATTCCTTTATTTTATTTAAATCACTGATGTAACAGGTACTTACTAAGCTATCTTGGCTTGGTTAACAACATTTTCATGCTTCGTTGAAGAAACGTTCTGTTACCTGTGTCTCCAGTTACCAGTATCTTCCTGCTACGTCTACTTTATTTGAATTGAACTCGATAGAACTAGAAAAATGTTAGTTATTTCGATCATTGAGTAACTAAGATTGGAAATAAGATTTTTATAGATGTTACTGTGTTAATATATTTTCTAACAATTATTAATTCAATTTAATATTGTATACATATACTCAAAATTTATATTATATTTATTTTGTAAAGCCAAGTCCATTTACTGTATCAACTAAATAAATCATATATAAATTTATCTATTTATTTACTATATATATATATATATATACGATTTGGATATATACATTATGGCAAAAAATATGGGAAAACCTATTCATAAAAATAAAAAGGAAGATTCCAGATATATATATATATATATATTATAATTAAAATTTGATTGATCTCTAAATATATCGATGAAATAAATATATATATATATAATTTATAAATATTTCTAAACACACGTATTGAAGAGTGTCTTGAATTTAGAAATCTTTTCTAAATTAAGCAATGTCTTTGATGGTACTATCGAGAAATTGTGCAATTCGATGAGAGAAAGAAATTTACTTCTACTTAAAAAAAGAAAAAAGAAAAAAGAAAAAAGAAAAATAACATCTTCAAAAATGAAATAACATAAAATTAATAAGTAAAATATAATCAATTAATGGATAGAATAAAGCAAACGTATTCATCAGGATATCAAAATCGCTTAATAAGTTATTTATTCACCGGAAGTGTGATGAATTTGAATCGGAAGTAAGTTTACGTTGCGAAAAGTTACGAAGAAAGAGGAAGAGAAAGGGGCAGCAAACGACAAGGAAAGAGACAGAAAGAGAGAAAAAGAGAAAGAGATAGAGAGAAAGAGAGAGAGAGAGAAAGAGAAAGAGAGATTCGCAATAGCTCCGTCGCATCTCATAGGTGATGGTTCCCAACACGAGTGGGGTCCAAGCTGGCCCGTATAAAAGGGGATCTCAAGACAACCACGGAGCATCAGTCCTCATATCAAGGAACAGCAGCAATCATGAGGGCATTCATGGTGAGTAGCTACCATCCTCAACTTCCCGCTCTCTCTATCTATCACTCTCTTTTTCTTTTACATTTATTTTGTCCATCACGTAACATCTATCACTAGGTTCTATTACTCGGAACTAATTCGGTTTATTCGATTATTTAACGAAGAATCTCACCGAGTGCTTTCCTTTCACCATTTTTTTTTTTTATTTTTCTCTCCCTTTTGTCTTCTATTTCTTTTTATTTGAAGAAATTAAATTGCCAAGAATATTTCTGTCTATGGATGAATGAGAAATCGAAAAGTATCATTTCATTCACGCATCTCGTGAAGTTAAACTCTCCTTTTTTTTTTTATCGAAGAGAAATGACGGGTTCATTGACTTACAATCTATATAGATTTATAGAAAGAGAAAAAAAGAGTTTTCTTCAAATTGTCCATATCAGCTATCTTTATAAGTTACGATGTTAAAAAAATCATAATAATTTCATTTTATATAAATGTTTTATTTTATGTTTTTATGTTTTAAAAATAAAAAAATCCTCGCGGGAGAATTTCTCGTGTATATATGTAAGAAAGTAATACTTGCATAGGCTTTCTTGATTACGTTTCGAGAATGTTCTTCTTTTTCTTTTCCTTTTTTTTCGAAAGCGGGGGATAAATAGGGGAAACGCATTCTAATTTGGTACGTTGTTGAAATCTTAAAGAGTTAGAGAAAACACGTAATACTCGTTTTTATGTAACAACCTACCTTTGAGAATTTCACTGCGAGGAAAACATTTAAAATTTTTCGTACACGTGTTTATAGTTTAAAGAGCATTTTGGTATAAATGCTTTTAAAGGAACGGTGAAATTTATAAAAAAGAAAGTGGGAGAATGAAGAGTATAAATTTGTGGAAGAAAGAATAAAGAAAAAAAGAAACAGGGAAAAATAAAAATACAAATAAAAATAAGTAAAGAAGATACTCTCGGAGTTTCACGTTGAGTGCATTGAATATATAACGTTAGTTTGCCACTTTCACTCCGTGGTCGAGCGCGTGTAATCGATAGAAACGATTTTCGAGAAGAGAAAGGGTCTCGAGAGTGAATCCTCAATGTGGAATTTCAGATCCTGACGATCGCCGCCGTGGCGATGGCACGGCCAGAAGCCGGCTACTCGTACAGTCAACCAAGCGGAAGTTATGGTGCCCCTAGCGGTGGGGGTGGTGGCGGTGGTTTCGGAGGAGGATTAGGAGGATTGGGTGGATTAGGAGGATTAGGAGGAGGCGGTCTTGGAGGCGGACTAGGAGGAGGACTAGGAGGTGGTTTCGGAGGTGGTTTGGGAGGTGGATTCGGTGGCGGATCTGGATTTGGTGGTGGTGGTGGCGGCGGCGGCGGCGGTGGTGGCTTCGGTGGAGGTTCCCTCATCCAGAAGCACATCTACGTTCACGTACCACCACCTGAGGCGCCCGAGGATAGACCAGCGAGGCCAATAGCACCACCCCCGCCACCTCAGAAACATTACAAGATTATCTTCATTAAGGCACCAACTCCACCTACGCCAACTGCACCGGTCATCCCAGCATTACCACAACAAGATGAACAGAAGACACTTATCTACGTCCTTGTCAAGAAACCAGAGGAGGCACCAGAAATCAGTCTACCTACTATTGCTCCTACGCAACCAAGCAAACCGGAAGTTTACTTCATCAAGTACAAAACTCAGGTATGTAGATGAAATAATTCAAAGAGAAATAAAATTGAGATTAATGTAATCGATTCAATGAAATTTCTTTTTCTCGTTTACAGAAGGAAGTTACATCTGGAGGTGGTGGTGGTGGTGGTGGAGGTGGAATCGGTGGTGGTATCGGTGGTGGCATCGGTGGCGGCATCGGTGGTGGTATTGGTGGTGGTATCGGAGGTGGCATCGGTGACGGACACGGCGGATCAGGAGGTGGTGGAATCGGGGGAGGTATCGTTGGTACCGGACCAAGCGGACCAAGCTCGAATTACGGACCACCTGGAGGATCCGGCCCATACTAGTCACAAGACAGCCGAACCGGCCCTTACTCTCTTCTCCGTTCACCAAATCACTTTTACACCCACCACGCTTAGTTCTTATTACAAGCGTAATACGACGAGCGCCGATCCTCATCACGACGACGATACGATAATATTAATGTTCTTAGATGCGCGCGAATATACGAACATAACGTTTAAAATAATAATGACGATCGCGATGTTGATGGTGATGATGACGACGACGAATACTATGATAGCTAATGATGCAACAACAACAACAAAAACAACAACAACAACAACGACGACGACGACGATGATGATGACGATAAAGACGACGACGCCGCCGCTGCTGCTGCCATTGCTGCTGCTATTACTGCAGCAGCATTCGCTGCTGTTGCTGCTGCCGATGATGATGATGTTGATAAAAATGACGACGAAGATAATGACGACGATGATAATGATGATGATGACGACGACAACGATGATGCTGATGACGATGAAAATGATCATGATAATGATGATAATGATGATGATACTGACGACGATTACGAGGAGTTTTTTATACTTATTTTTTGCAAGAAAACGGTGGCGAAATAAAGCTTTTTTATGTATTTTTACATAAATTACCCTGACTTAATGATTTTTTATCCGTCAACCCCCTTTCACCTTTTCTCTTTTTTCCTTATCATTTTTATCATTAGATAAGAAGAGAGGGAGGAAAAAAAGAAGAAAGATTATTTATGTTCTTAGATCATAATTTGAACTCCACCATTAATCTACACAGTACATTTTATGTTTATAAACATATATATTTAAGTACGTGTATAAATAATTTTTAGATATACTATAATTTATACAGGGAGGTGATAGGTTAGTGAGAATTTTAAACGAACTTCCGTATTGTGTATAAACGTAGTATAAATACATAAAGTGTATATACCTAAATATTATACGAGAATATATACGCACGGAAATTCTCACCAATCGTCTTCCCAAAAGACGCTGTAGCAGTCCGGAAGGAGCACACTTTCACTGCTCGCCTTTGTTCGAGATGATTCTATCTTTCTATCTTTCACATACACACACACACACACACACACACACACATATATATATATATATATATATATATATATATATACACATTATTCTTTTTACTTATATATACTTTGAAAATTACCGCTTGATCATGAGAAATAGCAATCGTATGTGCATTTATAACTACAAGTCTGTATTATTTTACTTGCATTAATTACAAATGTAAATGAAATATTCACATAATTTAAAAAAAAAAAATACTTATTGAATATAATGCATGGAAAAAAAGGAACAATATTGTAACAAATACATATAATATATATCTCAATAATTCTCAACAAAATAAAATATGCACTATATATTCAAGAAAAACATTTCGAACAATTTTGAAAAGAAAACATGTGTATATATACCTATAAAAAAAAATTTATATATATATATATATATATATATATATATATATATATACTATAAATGATTACAGATAATTTAAAATATAAAAAAATATATATTTGATATAAAATTTGGATCTATGGAATTGTAAGATACATCACGTAAGTCGTCTAGAAGGTACCGTGGCGTCTTTACGTACGATGCGCCAGCGAAAGCGACCGCTCATTGACATGCTATCTTAATGTTAGTGGGGAGAAAACGAATCAGAGGGAAAAAGGAATCTCGCATACTGAGGTGAGCATCTTTTCGTGTCTCTCTCACATCACAAATGTATTTATATACATATATATAACAAGTATATACATCGTCATCGTAAAAAAAGACAGAAAGAATTGGAGAAGGAAGGGAAAGAGGTAAACACATTGAACGCGATACTCACATCGTAAATATATAGGTACATATATAGAAGCACCTCGATAGGAAGATGCTATGTACGTGTGTGCGAGAGAAAGAAACAAAGAGAAAGAGAAAGATGATGAAGAGGAGGTAGAGGGAGGAGGAAACGTTTGGTAGCCAGAAGGCAACTTTCACAGGAACCTTCCTTTTTTACGACTAAAATGAGGAAGAGCGTAACAGAGGGACAGAGAGAAAAAAAACACTTTCGAAAGGTTAACCAGCGGCCTCCTTCAAAAACCGGGACGCCATTCGTTCGTTCGGACTTTATCCAAGGGTTACCTTGTATACATTCATACATATAATAAATAAATATATGTATATATAATATATATGTATATTTATACATACAAGTATGTTATATGTCTTCTTATATATCGTCCGCGTTTTGAATGAGAAAGCGCGCAGATATTTTTTTCCACACACGGATGTTGAAATTAATAAATAAGAGAAAGATGCTTTATAGTAATTAGTCGGATATATATTATACTTGATTTGTAAATGATTGTCTTAATTATTATAATTATGATTATATATGAATAATTTGAACCTAATAATTTTCAATTATTAAACGATTTGTTATTCCATTTAATAACTTTTTAGATCGTAATCTCTCAAAATTTCAATTCGAGATCTTATGATCGTATTTTTTCTTTTTTTTTTCTTATTAACAAATGTGAAAGAAGTTTCGAGAAGATGAAGATTTCTTCGTAGCAAAAGTTTCTCACGACTGAAGACAAGCAACCAGGCAGACATACAGTTGCTTGCTGTAGCGTTACAACTCTTCTATACCTTCTTCTTCTATCTTCGCTGCTCCACTATATGGTATAATGACTCGCTTTTACCTTATTTTGTAAGTTTCACGCTTAAATGTGTTTGTAAGAAACGTAATATGTGATTACAAAAGATATATATATATATAATCGTATCCATCTCACTAAATCTTTTTTAAAAATATTTTTCTATTATACCAGGAAAAGTTTAGAACGTGCCAAATCGAATATAATATAAACAATATTTAAGTGCTGAAATAATGATAAATATTAATATAAAAAACAAATATTGTTTGCACATTGGAATCGTTAAGCTAACGTTCGAAAATTACCATCTCCTCGTTATTTCAATATTTAATCACTCCTGTCGCGTAAAATAATATTTACATCGTATATATCGCCTATATTATTAAATGTTAAGCGAACTAACTTGCTTAGTTATTTCTATAACATTAAAAATACATAGGTTGCTTAGGTCAGATTCTCAATCAACTTCCGTGCTCTCGTATATTTTACGTGCACATTAATCATATATATATATATATCGGTATATACGTTAAGTGCATAACCTGTACAAATAAGTGATTGTTTTTATGTATTGGTTATGTATATATAATATGTATATATAATATATATATATGGGTGTTTTGTATGGCTATATTGAGTTAGAATGTTGCCAGCTGGCCTTTACGCTGACCCATGCTTTCACTCAGTAGCATCTTACCATGGCGCGTCTCTACCATCATGGGCTCTCACCTACTTACTTTGAACGTCGTGACGTAATTGACGAAAAATAAAGCGTATCGCGAAGGAAAAATTAGATTGGATTTACTCTCACGCTTAACTTTATTTCATATTCGTTTAACACGATTAACTTTTTTCTTAGTTCTCAAGTATAAAGAAAATGTGTATCGATCTTTATAATCTATAACTTAATTTATGACTAATTTAAAAAATGGACCATATCGTTACACCATATTCCCATAAATATGTTACGTATATATACCTACATATTTGTTATATTGTTTCTAACGTAAATAATTTAACATCTTCTTTTATATAGTTAAATTATCATTTTTACATGTTGGACAATATGTCACAGTCAGGATAATATGAATTTAAAAATTTACATTGTTTCTTTTATTTTAGTTCTTTTTTTTTTTAAATCTTATGATTATCCTTTTAATGTGCAGAATAAAGAATTTTTCTAATGAAGGAATACTTTCGTTTTAAAAAGTGAAATGACTCTTTCACTTCGTTTAATTCGAATGCGTACCGTTGTTGATTACGAAATAATGTGAACACGCACAGTACGCTATTTTCTATCGTTTTAAATTATTATCGGGAATATTAGAAAATTTTTGTACGAATAACGTCATCTGTATTACAAATCGTTTTTCTGGTTTAAACGTTAAATTTGAAATACAACTGTTTTACCGTGTTAGTTTTATTATCTTATGGTAAAGAAAATTCTAGAATGGTAAGTGTATCGAAGAAATCTGTTTTATCTAGATGTTTTATTCGGTAAAAGTTACATTCGTTTGCAACATTTTAACTCTAGGGGGCCATAGTAAATTCTTCTTTATTTGATTAATGAACATTGTTTTGAATACTTATTCTTCAAAACATTATTTGAAATGTTAGTTAATTTTATAATATTACATTTAATTAATATTAAAATCATTTTATTGTAATAATTCTTGATTTAAGTAATCATTTTTAATTCTGAATAGTAAAGAGTATAAAATCAAGGCAAATAATTAAATTTAAGAAATGCCAAGCTTGTATATATATATAGATCCACATTTTATAATTTTATAATAATATAATATAACATAATATAATACTAATTAATAAAAAATTGATTATACATCAAAAGATTCTCAAATAAACAATATTATGAATTATTATAAATCTGTACTTCGTCAAAGTAGAAAACAAAATAATATAAATATAAACATTAAATAAAAATTGTAAGTATACCAAAAATTAACGATACAAATAAAAAAATAAACAAGAAATATATTTCAATTCTTATGTTTTAAAATAAAGTTTATATTCTAATCAATATTTGGCGGTAAAATAAAACTAGAAAAAAGAAAATAACAAATGACTAATTTGTTACTAACCAAAATTATAAATTTTAAAATAAATAATTGATTAAAGACTAGATATTTTTCCAACACATTTATATATACATATTTTATAAATTAAATAGAATTATATAAATATTTTATGAATTTTATACATTTTTCTTATATTATATGATGTAAGTAAAATAATATAATATTGAAGTGAAGTAAAGAAGTAGAACGTGTTATTCGTGACCGATCGATAAATCTTGTTTAATCTTATAACAAAATACCATTTATACCGTTTCTTTCAACTCTACTGAGATTTCTAGATAAACCCGATTTAAGTAGTATACTCTCGAAGGGGGTATAGTTAAGTGGTAGAAGAACGAATCTGATCAGCCCGTTCTGGATGTCTGACACGCAAGGTAGGTGTTCACTTCTGCGAGTAAGAAGGTAAAATGACCCGCAGTGTGTACAATAAATCTCTGACTGTGACGTTTCGATGTTGAAGAAAAATTACAAACAAACAAAAAAGAAAAAAATAAATATTACCATCCACATATACATAAATTCTACTTTTTAATAAATCGAACAACAGTATAAGATTTACTGTTCTCGATTTCGGGGAAAAAATTATTTCATTATCCAAACATCTAACATTTTTGTTAAAACTTGATATATATTTATTTTTTGTTTTTCGTTATAAATATTGATACATACCATAATGGATAACGATCAACTTTTTTATTTTTTATTATGATAACATAAATTTAAATAGTCGATAAAACGAAAAATTTACTATATATTTCTTAAGCAAATTTACATCGATCAATAACTCTTTACTTTAGTTGTAGGGAAAAAGAAAGAACTAGGATATGAGCAGCTTACACCCTTACGATCAAATCAAAATACTCTTAAAACTCGAAATACAATAAACTCGAATATATATATATATATAAATATAATAATATAATTTAAATGTATATATGTGTTTAACTAAATAACTAATACTAAATAATATATATATATTTAAATAATATATATATAAACAAAAACACTTTTCTTTCTATTTTCCATAAATTAAATTTAGGAATAGAAAGTATCAAAAATAAAAAATAATAATAATAAAAATGATAAAAATATCGAAGATAATTCTACATAAAAATAGATTTTTCTAAATTTTATAAAATCAAAACTATGCAGCAAGTATGTCTTTAGTGAATGAATTAATTTTAAAGAAATTTTGATCACAAAATTGTTATAAGTAAATATACTATATACATAGCAAAATTTAATATATATATATATTATTTATATACTTTATGCAGATAAATAATTCTAAAAATATTTATGAAAATTTTAGATAAAATTAAAATTACTAAAGCTATTTTAATATAAAATTAAGTTTATCACTAATTCATTTTCTTGTATAAAATTCTAAAAATATTCGAGATAATTAAAGATAAAATGAAAATTTTTGAATTTATTTAATTATAAAAAATAAGTAACAAACTTATCAATAATTCACATTTTTGATTGGAAATTTGATAGAAATATATATATATATATATATATATANATATATATATATATATATATATATATATATATATATATATATATATATATATCAAGGAGGTACACGTACACATGTACATGAATATAAAGAAGTGAAAAGGGGAAAAGGCGATCACCGGTCAGCGCAGGAGGATCGTAAAGGCAACGTCGCGGTGAAGGAGGCATAGAACGCGATTCTCCTTAGGGCGACGCACTTCGAGTCGAGACGGCACCGTCGAAGGACGCATGAATATGTATACCTTCGTACCGTTATCCACTATTATTTTACATTTGAATGAATTAATAAGCTCGAAGGATTTTTGCACACTTCAATTCACATTCATGCGTTGATTTAAAAAAAAAACAATATACACCATTTATATTTTTATTACAATTATTTTTTTTCTATCATCCACATTCTGTTACACTTATCAAAGGAAGAAAAATAATGCAAAATAAAAACAAAAACAAAAAGAAAAGATACACATATTATAAAAGTGCGTGTCACCGGATATAATGAGTTTCGTGCGAGAGATCATAAAGGTCATTGACCTCGGATACCTAAGAGTGTAACTTACGTTGCGTATAATTTTAATTATGATATTAACAATCAATTCTTTCATCTATTATTATTATTTATTTTTTGATTTTTTACTTTGTCTTTCTCAGTGATTACGAATATGTTTTTATTTTGAAATAATTTATGTTAAAAGTGAATTAACGTCTGTGTATACGTACGTGGTGATATGAGGTGCGTGAATCTAAGACGGTGTTAATTTATTAAGTGTATTACACGATGTAAGACTATAATATTTTGGAATTTTTATCTTCTTATTTTATATAAATATTTCGGAATAATTTCAATGCAACAGTGTGTATTTTTGTGTCAATTATTGTCAACACATCTGTAATACGTCAATTTTTATTTGTCAATAAAATTGCAAAAAGAAAAGAAGTAGCATATTTTAAGAAAAGAAAGGTGTATAGGCCGATGTCCTTGTACATACGTATGATCGCAGCTTGTAATCAGTCGGGTTCGCGTGTCAACTTTAGTTCAGAGCGATACAAGGAAATAGTCAAAAGGAAGTAGAGCCGGCCGAAGGGTAGAAAAGGGTGAACTAGGAAGGCACTTTACTAATGATGATAAAGATGCACAAGCTTTAAATCAGGTAAGAAAAATGATAATTAATTAATTTTTTCTCACTAAATAAAACATTTATACATATATCTATCAAATGGTGAAAATGACAGAAAAAGTGGATATAATTTTGAAGATATGCCAGTGAAAACGAACATCATTATTTTCAATTTATAATAATTTAATTATTTATTCTTAATAATTGCGTGTAAAAAAACAGCTTAAGATCCTAAATAGTTCAGTGTTCTATAACAATAATATAGAAAGTAAAAGAATACCCAAGTTCAAAGACCAGTTCAAGAACCTAACAATATTTTCCTAAATATTGCATACGTATACATATAATTAAAAAATTGGTAATAATTTCGAAAAAAATCGAAAAAATGGAGTAAGAAGAAAAGTTGAAAAGTTTATCTATTAAATTTAATCAGAAAAACGGGATGAGAAAAGAGGAACAACAGGACACAACGGGTTTGGATGAATCAGTAGTGATATCAGTAGCGGCACCTGCTGGAACGAATCGTGCACCGACGACGACAACGTCTACGAGTACGACTACGGTGACGACGGTGACGGCGACGACGACGATGACGACGAAGACGATGTCGTCGCCTAAGATGCCGGATGGAGGCGCTTGCAGCGACGAAGACGAAGTCGAAGAAGGTGGCGGAGGTGGCGTAGGTGGAGGAGGTAGTGGTAGCAAAATGGAAAATGAGGATCAAGTGGTAGAAATAGAGGGGATGGTGAACGAGGAAGAGGAGGATGAAGAGGTTGAGGAGGAAGAAGAGGAAGAGGAGGAGGATGAGGAGAGTGAAAGGGGTGACGAGGAGGAAGAGGAAAGAGAAAAGCAGCAGCAACAGAAGAACGGCAACGGGAAGGGTGGAGATTTCGCGGCGCAGAAGACCGCTGGCGTTGGTGGTCTTTCATTAGGCGAAAGTGGGGGTGGAGGCGGCATGGGTGGCTTCTGGAGGCAAAGCAGACCCTCCAGTCCCCGCATGCCGCCTCCAGAGCAGCGGGAGCAGAGGCCAAAGAGCCGACACGATCCGGCTTTAGCAAGATACAATAATCTTGGTTATTGGAGAGCCAGACGTGTTACTTTTTACAAAAATGGCGATCCTTATTTTCCTGGGGTTGAATTCAGGTATGTGGGTTTTTCATTTTCTTCATCTTTTACTTATCCTTTATTTAATCTAATTATCTATCTTTCTCTCCCTTTTACTTATCTATGTGTGATTTTTTTCTACTATTTATTTACGAAAAGATTCAACTATGAGCCGCAGGTGGCGCATCCACCTTTGCGACCTTGATTCACATGTATGAATGAACCCTTCTGCCTGACATTTCAAGGATACAAACCTGTGTCTGTAAACTTGATCATACATTTCTATTAAATGGTCCATTATTAACTTTCAATATCTTATCTAATCCATTAACATTACTTTTAAATTTTACCTTCTGTTCAATATTAAAAGATTTAAGAAACGTCACTTATGCAATAATTAATCACATTAATTGTATAATTATGCTATTTATCGCACTTTTAATTCCAGGTTCAAACCAAGGCGAGATATCGGTTCTCTGGAAGCTCTATTGGACAGATTATCTCTCCGTTTGGATTTACCAAGGGGTGCACGTTATATATTCTCGATGGACGGCGATCGGAAAATTAATTTGGACGAATTAGAAGATGGCGCCTCTTACGTTGTCTCCAGCTATAAAACGTTCAAGGTCAGTCAAAGTTTCAGAAAAAGAAAGTTCTTTTTTACAATGCCACGCAATAAATCAACTCGTATGTTAATATTAATTGTTTTGGGTGTGGTCCTTTGATTTTTGATCACACCCCTAATTCCAATAAAACTTCTATTAAAAAATACAAATTTTAAAATCTTCGTTTACACATTTTCGTGCGTGATAAAATACATGAAAATAGGCGTACTGATGGCCTGTTTCTTTCTTCATTTTCACTTGTAAAAATGAATCGTTATCGTAATACTTAAACGCGATATAGAAAGAGAGAAAGATTCCGGATACGTAAGATCGCGTGTATACAGATCATATCAGATCTAGTTCTAATTCAGACAATGACCTCGAGAATAGGGACATTATTTAGGCTATAAAAAATGAGCCCATACGTAACTTTTGTGAAAGGACTCGATTGAAATTGAAAATAACATAAATATTCATAGTTATTAAAACTAAATCGAATACGTAATATTTGAATATTCATAAGTCTTGTTATATGACTATGATGTTTGTGTAATCGTTGCTTGAAACACGTAATCATAATACTTAATACTACTTAATACTTTATACATATACATGCATACAAATAATATATAAATATAGGTGTATATACATTTATATAAAGCTTAACAATAATTTTGCAGATTTAATAAGATGAATAAGTAAGATAAAAAAGATAATTTATTCTTTACCTATATGTTTAAATTTAATCAAATTAGAGCAAGTTATAATTCAAGGTTATTTTTTAATCTCACCTGTCTATCTATCCGTCAATAACTATTAGATACCATTCGTTATATTTACATGGGTGTGAAAGGAGATGATTTAGTCAAGAATAGGTAGACTATCTATCCTATTTCCTAGTCTTTTTAAGGTGTGACTAGGACACGCTTGATTGTATATCGTAGATCGTTACTGTTTCTCACAATCCACAGTCAAAACATATATGATCCAACAGTTCGATCGACGTAAATGTAGGAGTTTCTTTCTCATTCTATTTCTCTCTCTCTCTCTCTCTCTCTCTCTCTCTCTATCTGTCTCTCTTTCTTTCATTTGTGTGTGTACGTGTTTATATCAGTCAGGTCAAACCTTAATCCGTTTAAGTAGCCCACAAAAAAAGAACTTTTTGCAAGCATTGTTCAGCACTTTTCAACGTCGACTTTGCATGCCGATTGCATTCGATCGAAAAACAGTCGATGAGATTAGACGTTGAAAGATCCATAACTCTAGATGTGGTGGAATTGTCGGGGTGAGAAAAGCTTTACCTTTATTTTTCTTTTCTTTTTTTACAACCTTGTGACCCATTTATTTACTTACTCATAAAACTACATCACCGAGATTTCCATAATGTATCCTTAACCAAGTTTCTATCTGAATGAAACCAATGATCGCGTAACAGTATAGGTATATGCAATTAGGGTAAAATAGTAAAAATTAGGTTAATCGTCTAACCGTGTAGGTAGGTAGATAAATGTTTCATGATTATGAGAAAATATCAATCTAACAATAAGTAGATCGACAATACCAATCTAAGTAGATATATCTCAAATTAAATTGGCATTATTTTGGAACAAAGGTGACCATTAAGAACGTTCAATTTCCGCTGAATCAGAATCGACCCTATCCCTCTAAAAATTTAAGGTGTGTTTTAATTGATTATCTTTATGAAAATGAACATTTTAACAAAAACTTGAATAAAAATATTATTGATGTATTATTACAAAAATTATTTCTTAAATTCTAGGTTGATTGAGTATTACTATTTTATATATTATGATAGAAATTAAAATAATAATAATAATAATAATAATAATAATAATAATAATATTGCAAAGTATATTGAAAGTATTTCATAGTATGTATTTAACATTCACCTCAATATATACCTAATAATTACTTGTTAAATGCACGTGGTAAAATGAGAAGATCGTAGTTACACGTAAGAAAGTAAATCTGTGTCGTATTGGGGGGGGGTATTAGGAAGTTATACACTCACAGTAGTATACTGGGATCGAAAGGTGGGTTGTAATCTCCAACCAGAAGGAGAAAGTGTACCTGATTGGCTAAAAGCTGACGAGCATGCGTAGCAAGTTTCTTTTTCTGTTCCACCCTTTTTCTTTTCAATCCTTCTTTCGTACTTTTGTAATCACTAGGGTAATATCCTAACATAAACGTCATCGTACCGTTTTCGCTTTGGATAAAAAATTTATACTTAACACTTATCATTAATATTTTATTAGTATTATTGAAAATTTATCAGTATACATCTATAAATTAAAAAATAAATAAAAATTAAGTAAATTTGAATTATTTTTAAAAACAAACTTACACTTTGATTCAAATTATTCAATATAATAATCACTATATATAAATCTATAGACCCACAAGTAATAAAATAATGTTTAATTATTTATAAAAAACAGATTCACCTTCATAATTATTAGGTTGGAATGATTAAATATATTGATCGTTATAGATTTATAAATCCTAATAAATTGATCAATAAAATAAATCACAATTATATTTACAGGTATATGTAATACTTTTACCCTTTTTTGAAAATCAATATTATTATGGTTATTATGATTAATGGTTAGTAATAAAAATGAAACATTTTACTCTCTCTTTTCTTGAAAGAAAAGGAACTCCCAAGAAGTAGGCAACTCAGGTTCTTGAGTAGGGTAGGTGAGGACGGTATCTCATTGACCGTTGGTCAACGCAAGGGATCAATACGTAGGAGGCACTTTGCCTGTTACTGTACTACGATCAGATTTAACTGTTCTCTCCCATTGTTTTAATGTCTATCGATTTAGTTTCAATTTCTCAATATCATCATATGTTTTGTAATAATTTCTTTTAACACACACACACACGTGCGGGTACGCACGCACCCACACACACATACATACATACATATATATATATATATAATTGTTTTAGAAATTTTACAAATATTTTTTATAGTATTATACAATATACAAATTGTGCTAGAAATTTGTAGGTAATTGTAAAACTTCCTTATTCTTTATGCAAATTTTGTAGGTTAATTTTTTTGTAATATCGAAAAATTACAAGTTTAACTCGTAATACTGTAAATCTAATTATTCATTTAAGAAATAAAATAGAAATTACTTAAGTACTTGTAATCCACTGTCTCTACTTGATCGTAGATTCAACATTAGCTTTAAATCATTACATATCAGGCATTGATGTCTCCGGAAAATGATTACTTGTCATACTATCTTTTTTCCGGTAATGTCGTCATGATCAACATATATTAGGACAATTTTGAAAAATATAATATTCTATTTCAATAATTTTGCATATTTTTCATAAAAAATAAATTGCAGCAATTTAAAAATAATTTATTCATACGATAATATTTTCTCGTAAAATTACTCGTTCAACCTTTTTTTTCGTGTATATACTTATCCAGATATATTTCCGTTTTCCACCCAATTTCCTGAAACATAAATCTCTATAGAAGAATTTCTCGTTAGAACATTATTACATGTCCATTCAATCCTATCGCGCATGCGTCATTATGCGACAAAATATAGCATGACCGTTTTATTGTAATTATGTGTGTAGCAACCATACACACATATACATTCCAAAATTAAGAACTGCGGCATATGCTGTTAATTTTCAATTTTTATTCACAGGTTAATGTTTGATAAAGTATTTGCTGTTGCTTGTTACCAAAATCTTTTGCAAAAATTTATGACAAATAAATCTTACAAAAAAAAAAAAAGATATTAACATAAATTAAGATAAACATAATATGGTTCACACAAAAAGGGTCAAATAAAATTCAAATATATATATATAAAATCTCGAGCGAAAAAAAAAGAATTAATCTGTCATAAATTCATATCAAATATATATCTAAATATATGTTTAAACAGGTAATTAATTATACTATCTATAAATTATATCTAATCTTAATCGATAAAAAAAAAGAAGAAAAATGTGTTAGCAGATTATAAAAGAGATATGTATGTATGTATACATGTATATATATATATAATATATATGTATCAATATATATATGTATATGTACTGCGTTAGCGATTAATAGATGGACTCGAGGACGAAAAATATTGATATTACAAATTTGCATGTATCGTTCTCGGTGGTATATCGAACCTAATTCCAGTTGAAGCCACACCCGGAGAGGGTGGCTACCTGGCTGGCCTTGAGCCAGTGGCTCGGTATATAGCAATAAGGGGAAGGGAATGTTGCAGCTACTACGAGTTGGTTCTCCACCTTGATGAGGCCGTATACATCCCTCTTCCAGTCGTTCATCGAACACAGTTACGGTTGCACCTCGTGACGAAAGATAGAAAGGGAGAAAACGAGATTTACTTTTCTTAACTTAACTTTTTATCTAGATATTTTCTATTCACGTTAGAAAAATTATTTCAAAGCTGTTTCTCCTTTTTTTTTTGCTCTCTCTCTCTCTCTCTTTTTTTGAAAATAATACATAATTAAATTAAAACTTAATTTTATTTGTAATTTTTTTTCTTTCTTTTCCCTTTGTTTTTTATTTCGAACATTTTTTTTTTATTTTTTTTTTTTTTTCATTGAAATTTTTCATGATTACGATAAAAATCAGAAAGTATCATGCACGTCATGAGAATAACAATGAGATAGAGAACGTAATAATTATTAAGAATAAATTAAATAAAATGAGTCATGTGATCGTGATCGTGAAAGAAATATTGTATAAGTAGTGTAGAGTGATTGAATCTAGGCCAAAAAAAAAAGAAAAGAAAAGAAAAATTCGGTGTAATTACATTTCGAAGAAATAATTCGTAGTGATTTGACAATCATCATTGAGTCGGAAAGTTCGTCATTGCGTTCCGATCTGGAGCCGGACTACGATCCCGACGACGAGGACGCGAACGATTCCTACAGCGATTCCGTTCGCGAATATCCTCTTGATTACTTCTGGACAAGTACCACCAGTTTTGTCGTGTTAATGAGTAATTCTTTCGAAGTTATTTCGCTGCCGGCCGATATGCTGCAGGTGCTCATATGATTCGATTTATTTAATTGATCCTAATATTTTAGAAACAAATTCAAATAAAAAAATCAAATATATTATTTAAATTAATCTATATATATATAAATAAGTAGATATTTATGTGTGTGTATCTAACTGCAAAAAAATATAAATATTATTATAATGTATATTATAATAATAATAATAATAATAATAATAATAATAAAAATAATAATAATAATATATTTTATTTATTTTAATAATTATATATTATTATATTATAT